GTTTTAATAGGAAATGTCTTCTCCAAAAAAGTTTCAGCACTAGGACTGGTGAAAAAGATAAAAATTAACTTTGATTTTGACAAAATCAGAAAGTGTATTGTAAAATCCCTAATGTACAGTAAATCACACTGGTGTAAATATCAGTATTTGCGGCTGTCATAAGGGAAACAGGGTTTAGCTGCATTTTTTGTAAATACTTGTATTGCTTTTGACCAAGTCTATAATGTTCAGCATCCGTGCAACTAAAGTTCTTTCTGGTATGATCTGCCACAGCAATTAAGCTCAGTAGAGGTAGTATCTGTTGTCATAAGGTATGGGGGGAACCCACTACCTCTGAGCATATGCTGAGAGTCACATCACTCCCCTCCACGGACAGTTATTGTTTGAGATTGTGGAATTTTTTCAGCACATTGTTATCTCTCTCTCTCTCTCTCTCTCTCTCTCTCTCTCTCTCTCCCTCCTTCCCTCTCCTCCCCCTACCTGTGTTGCTGGAGCACACCTGTGTTGCTGGATGGATGGAGGAGGAGGGGGATTTGCTTCTTGCTTTCAGTGTAAGAGGTCCCGGTTTCAATCCTGGTCTTTTACAGCAGATTGAATGTTATGTAAGACAGCTCTGTTTTTAGCCAAGTTAATGAGGTAGCATGTCTCTTTACCCTTGTCTTGCTACCACTTTCCAACAAATGCTATCTCAATATGCTTAAAAAAAGAGCTGATCAAGACCAGACGCTTCACGATATCTACAGGAAGACCAACATAAAGATGGGATAAGATGGAGTTCCTTCTTCTAAGATCAGACCCACTCTGATCCATCTTCAATTACATAAGTAAAGCTCTTCTCAAGTTTGAGTAGAGAGGAAGAACTTCCTTTAACAGGCAGAAACCTCAAGCAGAACCAGACTCAGAGACTTAGCTGAATTTAGAGAGGGGACAGAGAGAGATGAGGAAAGAGAGAGGTGAGCAAAGGCAAACAACAACAATAGTTCATTTAGATATATGGTTACAGGGTCAGAGGTAATGGAACAGGTTTGTGAACTTTTTACAGGAACATTTTAATAATAACAGTCTGATCTTAGTTTAATTTATGAAAAATTGAAGTCAACATGTCTGTAGTAATAGCACCACAGTGATAGCATTCGTATAATAATAAAAATTGAGGTGAATTATAGGGGTTGAATGTAGAACAATTAAATCAAAAGAGTCAAAAAGTTCTACAATTAACATTTGCTTTGTAACAGTGAATGAAATCAGGAGAGTGAAACTAATAAATTAAAATTAGCTTTCTGACAGTATTAAAAATGCTGAGACTGATGCTCGTAGTTGAAGCAGCTGGAAAGCAGTCAGGTCCACAGTAGCAGGATGTCTGCAGCAGTGATCCAGAGGAACCTATAGGATGATGGAGCTCAGAGACTCTCCAAAAAAAATGTGGCTGTTGACATTAATGGTACATGGTGATTTAAAGGTAATAACACAAACCAAAAGAGGATGGAGAAGGAGGAAAATGTGTACAATGTGCCAATGCCCTGGCGTAATAAGATTTACCTTTTAAAGGCCATTATGGCCAAGTATGTGTACACCAGTGGCGATTGCTCTAAGACTGCAAGGGAAGCTCAGCTTCCCTTAAAATGTCACCCCCCAAAAAAAAGAAAAAGTGGTGAAATACTTACTGCTGTGTGTACATTTCATTAACTAAATACGCGCTAGAAAGCCTTTATCTTTTGTTCAGAATCAGCTTTTTATCACACTGTGATAAGAAGCTGATAATCACAGGTAACTGGCATAACTTCGTTCTCATTCATCCTCGCAGCGCCTCAGCGCTTTAAACAGCCAGACGCTCAGCGTCTGCTGACTTCAATGTGGAAGCTCAAAGTGGGTTGTTCCAGCAGCGAAACTAGACGCTCATTGGATAAATGCTGGGCTTTGTCCCGCCCATTGGACGCTCAGCTTCTCTGGAGTTCTATGGCGAGAGGGCGGTCCCAACTTTCTTGCGGACGCTGAGCTTCTGCATCCATGATTGGATGAGCTGTCTGAGGTGAAATCCTTTTTTGATTGACAGCTAAACAAGCGAATCAGCGATCTTGAAGAATAAAACATCTACCAGAGCATTTTCCAAGTTATTCATTCCGTTGTTCTTAACTGCTCAAGAGACTTTACCGATCCTCAGCGACTTTTGTCTTTGTTAAAAACGACTGCCGTTGTGTTTGGCGACTCTGTTCTGTTACATACAAATAAACAAACACAATTATGATGTAGGCCAGAAAAATGAGCTTCCCCTCCTTAAAAGACCAGCAGCCGCCACTGGTGTACACTTACATGGAATTTGACTGGTAAACTTTTCCCTCTGTATACAAACAATAAACATGAAATGTTGCAAAAACTACAAAATATGTACAAAACAAACTAGACATTTAACTTATATATATAAAACAGTAGTGCAGTGATGAAGAGCGCAGTGAAGTAAAGAGTGGTTATGGTAGAAAAATATACATGCCATTATATAACAGGTGGATCATGTACATATAGGGTCATTAAACATGATGTTTTACAGTATTAATATTGAAAATAAGTATGAAATAAGGTGTGCAGAGGTCTGTGTCTCTATGAACGTCAGGAGTTCATCAGACCAGCAGCCTGGGGAAATAAACTGTCTTTGTGTCGGCTGGTTTGGGTCTACAGTGATCTGTAATGCCTATACCTGAGGGGAGGAGTTTGTGATTGTGTCCTGGTGTGAGGGATCAGCAGTGATGTTACCTGCACGTTTCTTGACCCTAGACCAGTGTAAGTCTTGGATCAAGGGAAGATTAGTCCCTATGATTTTTTTCTGCAGTCCTGATAGTCTGGTGAAGTCTGTTCCTGTCCTGCCTGATGGCAGACCCCAACCAAACAGTGATGGATGTGCAGAGGACAAACTAGATGATGGCGATGTAGAAGTGGATTAGCAGCTCTTGAGGTGGGTTGAACTTTCTGAGTTGTCACAGGACATTCAACCTCTGCTGGGCCTTTTTCCTGATCGAGTCTATGTGGACGGTCACCTTTAGGTCCATGCAGATAGTGGCTCCCAGGAACTAAAACAAGTCCCTCCTTAAGTCCACTGTCATCTCAACAGTCTTGAGTAGGTTCAACTCCAGATGGTTGGTGTACAGGGAGAGGCGCAGCAGGAAGAGCAGCAGTTGCACTGCGAGCTGGGTCAGTTTGCAGTGGAGGAGCTTTATCAAAGAGGAACATTTTTAGATGACTTGAAAACAGGGAGAAATTTATTGTATGTCTGTACTGAAAATGCTACCAGGATATTTTTATGAACACAATAATTTTGAGGTGAATAAAAATCAAGTAATATGACAGTCCTAATTCAAACTGTCTTATTATTATAACTTGTTCCTAGACTGGGAACCCTTAGACATATGGTGTTGATAATCATGCATCGCATTGTCAACATTGTGGGTGAATATAAGATTTTAAAACTAACCAATGGGCACAGTAATTGACATATCTGGTTCTATTCATAATAGCCTAATAATGGATCTCTCCCAGAACTGTAAGTGAAATTCTGGTCTGGTTAGTTTATTTCCAATTAAAAAAGGTGCCCAAATTACCCCAGTGCAGCAATATAGTTTTGGGCATGCTGATGAACCTTTGTTGAAAAGTGTATCCGTACCTAGGTTTTTGTGGTTCTCGTGTTGTCTCATGTGTCATTGCTTATCTTGCAGTATCTGACAACAGTCTTTGATTTACTGTACTGATGCCATGGTCAGACTACACGGCCATTGGATCTAGTTGACATAGAGTTTGACCCGTCAGCTCCAGAAATCAATCATTTTATCTTCTGTGGTGTGTCATTGTGAATAATAATCAAAGAATTATGATGTAGAATTGCTAAAACCCGCATCTTACCTGAACTTTACCTTTGGTAGATCAACCAAAAGTTTGGTTAAGTCAGCATTTCCAGCATGGAAACAACTGTGTGACGTCAGTGAGACTAGGTCCATGGATCATAGAGTCTGTGGTGTAGACAAACAAATGGAGAGAAGAGAGATTAACTATGAACGTGGTGCTGCAAGACTAAGCTGTTTTTTTTTCAAGCTCTAGCAACAACACCCCTGCCATGAAGTTGTGTCACGGAGGAACCTGCACAACAGACTGTTTAAAGAGACACTTTAGCAACTGGATAAGTAAGAGCCCAGACCCTCTTCGTACCAAGGCTATTTACAGGTCCTGATTATTGGTAGATTACCACTACATTGTCTGTTTGTCGGTCTGTAAGTCAAGTGATGGCTCAAATGTTTGGCAACATTGAAAACAGAAATTGACAAAGTGAAAATGAAAGATGGTTTAATGTTTGAGGAAATATATTTGTTTGGACTCTCTTGACAGCAGGTTGCTGCCTTCTTAGACCTTGTGCTATCTTGTATTTTCCATAACAATATAAGTCCTGCTGATGCTTGGGGTCACAATTACACAATTACAAGGCACAAGTACAGCAAAACTGGACCCTTCGTTTTATAAACAATAAATTTGCAAGGATCAAAGGGTTTTCAGATAAAAAAAAAATATTTTAAAGTGGAAAATCTGCAAAGCCGAAAAATGTTGAAGTGCTATCTGCAAAGTACTCGCTTTTATCTTCACTATTATTTATGTCCCCCACAAAAATAAATGCAGCAAAAACATGAAAGTAAAAATGTTTTGCATGGGGAACCTCTGATATTGGTTACCCAGCATTGGCATAGTTATAGGTCTTAAACTGCAGCATCATGTTAATGCTGATGATAAAAGGTGAAAACCTAACTTTTGATGCTTAAAAAATAACTACAACTGCTGGTCAGAACTGTGTTAAAACTCTGTATGGTGCCACTAACTGCCTCATGCTTTAATATTTTAAGTATAATGTCTTTAATCTTACAAAACTTTGACTTGAATTTCTGAACAGCACTTACAGTCTCCTCTTGTATTCCGCTGAACCCCTACGAAGTTTTTGATCTGAACTTTAAAGATTTGTAAGCCGGGATGTTGGTTTAGCTCCAACAGTGCAAAAATATGCTCCCCTGATTGGAACAGCTCAAAGCAACCAAAAGCAGCCTGGTTCATAGCACTGAAGGGGTTAAACATGCTGTGCATGCTGTGAAAAAATGTAAAAAATAAACAGAAGCACTAACATCACTAAGATACTGTGATGAGCATTCCCATGGGAAGTCCAGTGAGCAAGATAAACAAGCATTCAGGGAGCGGTACCACTTTACTTCAATCATTTTTTAAAGGGTTAGCAAGTATATCTAGAGCACAAGCTTCTAGCTGCTATAGTGATTTTAAAATCTTGGACCCATAATCTTTGCACTACAACATTTTCTATTTTGCAGAATACCTTCACTTCCAGATGGGTTTAATATGTCAGTCCAGGATTAACTTTAAGCTCATGCATGAATTTCAGCTCGTGTTATTGCCAGCAGTTATAACATGATTGAACTGAGACTGGATAGAGTCAACATTTTGGTATCTGATGACGATGGTGATGAAAAATAAACAAGGTTGCAGCAAACAGGGTCTCTCTTAGTCAGAGTTCGGCAAATCAATCCTGACATTGATCAATTACTTGACATGTTGATGCTGATAACAGTTTACATTCTCAAAAACTTGTCTGGATGAATAGAAGTGGAACTAAATGCTTGGCAAAATGCACATTATTGATAACTGCTCTTAACAGGTCTATAGCTGGAATCGTCCATCCTTTCACAGACATATAAATTAGTTCTCATTTGAATGCTATGTTGGTTGAACATATGTATCCTATCTATAGACTGTATGGAAAACTTGGTTCTGCCTTCTGCCAGTATATGGATTTGAAGCTGAAAAGCTCTCTGTAATTCCATGTTTTCCTCTACTTCCTGGAACCAACATCCTGCAAGCAGTGTTGTACGCATTTGGTGGGAGAGTCGCCGAGAGTCACTGTGATGATGCTCGGCTCAAACAGCGTGCTCCCCAGGTGAGCGACACAATCTTTGTACACCCATAGGTTGTATTAAGTGTCAATCACAGAAAACATGAACCCCCTAATAACTTTTAAAAATGGAGCTGCACAGAAAAAAAGGACTTGAGCACAAACCAGTCTTACAATAACAACATGTCAACATCACAAGCAGGGGGGAGAAAAATGTATATTCTGTGTAACAAATTTCTAAAGTTTGTCCACAGCACTATAGGGATGGCTGGAGGAGGCAGGATTTCTGACCTATACTACAGCCTGTCACCAGAGGGTGCTGTTCTTGGGGTGGCTTCACCCAGCGTGGAGGCAGACGGCATTTATTCTATATACAGTCTATGATCATATCCTTTTCCCTGATATTTTACATTCTTGTAATACAATATTAAATTCTAACACATGTATCTATTTTTTAATGTTATGGAATTTTAAGTATATGTGTGCAATAATGGGAACAGCTGAAAGCATCTAGTGTTTAATCATATCAGTCTTTTTTCTTGCTTTGCACCTGCTCTTAATTACATCAACCCACAACATCCATTACTTACTCTTAATCTTCTGCTCACAGTCAGAATTATTCTTTCTACTAAAGCCCTTCTGAGACAACATAACCCTAATTATATCACTTTTTTTATGATTCCTGCTTAACTCTTGCCATAATACTGTATAAGCCGTAAAATTAAAATATAAATACAATCAGAAGTCCTTTTTTAACTCCAGTATTTTATATTTATAGTTCATCAGGTACAAAACAAACACAAACAAGGCCTTACACAGTTACAGAAAAATGTGTCCCTTTCAATCTGAACTCAGTATTTAAGTTATGTTCATCCATCACATAGACTGCAGGAGATTTTATCTTTCAATGATCTGAACTGTGGAGATTTAATAAGAAGTTCATGATGCATTTAAAAATGTGATATTAGCTTGATATTGCTTAAAGATTAAACATTTAGCATTTATACAATTATGTGCACAGAGAAACATTAGTAGTGATGACTTTGTCCTTAGAGAGCCCAAGTACATGAAGACTAAAAAAGACAAGAAAGATTGGTTCTGGATACTAATAATGGTCAGGTTTAGGCAGGGCTGGACTGGACTGGAACAAAAAAACGGCCCAGGCAATTTTGGCCATGACGGACCACCGTGATTACACTATACAGAGGCACATACCAGAGGATATGTGTGCATGTTTTGTCATTTCAAAAATTAATATAAAGTGCAGCAGCCTACATTAAAGAGATTAACCATGTTAAAAAATAGATATGCTCTTTTACTAATTACAGTCATCTTGGGAGATGGCCACAATGTCATAAATCCAATCTTGAAGTGAAAGAGGGGTCAAAGAAACACTGCTAGTAATGTCTTTTTAATGTTCAATAAATAAAGTGTTTGTAAAAATCCACAACTATGCCCACACTAAAACCATACATGTAAAATAAAGAGACACCCCATCAGAGTGGCACCTTAAAGTATGAAAAACAGAGAGAGAATGAGAATGAGAAAGATGCCGAGACAATAATTTGAGAGATACAGAAAAAAAAAAGTGTAACTTCTGATCCCTTCTGATGCACAACAAGCCCAAATGAGCAACTGCACTTTTGGAACAAGCCCAAAAAAATTGCAACCCTCAATTCACAAAATTTACAAGAACTTGTTAAAAAAGAAGCCAAATTGGCTTATAATAAGCAGACCTGGCAACTATGGCTCCTGCGTAGTTGTGCATGCACAACATGACTGAGGAGGTTTGGGGGTGTGCTGGGTTGACTTGGACAGTCACAATAGCCAGGAAATGGGAGTGAGGAAAAGGACAACGGAGCATCCATGTCTTGCTTTGAGCTGGGTGATAATAAAAGCAAGCCCAAAGTTGCTTGTAATAAGCAGACTTGGCAACAAAGTTGTTGTCCCGGTCTGCCCTTCCTCATGGGGTGCTCACACCAAGTGTGAGTAAAATCATCCACTCGCTTATTTCACGCAAATCTAGACATGTGAATAATAGTATTTCACACGAATTACTCACTCGGAGCGACACCTGCTGGATGCATCAGCGGGTCATTCAGAGAGTTTTTGTGGTTTCTGAAGAAACAATCCAACTGATGATCAACATTTGTGATCCAGAGGGAGTCGAGCTCCGACGAGCACCACGTCTCTGACAGCGGCGGTAACCTACACCTGCAGAGACACCAACACCTTATTATGGCATATGATAAACTAAAGCTCAATGTCATTCATGGATATTTACAGCTGCATATTTGAGGCATAAAGTGAAATTGTACTTGGTTTGCATTACTTTTTTGAGGACTCTTGCTCCTTCCTACAGGACGCTCTCCTACTAAGGGTCCAATTACATGACAGTGAAGGCACCTTTCAGTCATGATCTACTGTTAGTATGGGAAATACAGTTGTGAGTAAAAGTCAGGGCACCCCTTTTAAAAAAACATAGTTTATCTATGAACAAATTAACCTTGATATTTATAGTCTCTCTGATGAATAGGGGGAAGAAAATTATCAGAAATCATTAACGCACAGTAACTTTTTATTTTATAAAAAGTACAAAATTACAAAAATAAAAATCATCTTCTTGGCATGTGCAAATGTCAGGGCTTCCTTCGGCATCAGTACCTTCAGTACTTAGTAAGACCCCCTGTGGCAGATATCACAGCTTGTAAATGCTTTTTATATCCAACTACAAATCTCTGGATTTTATCCTTTGGGATTTTTACCCATTCTTCCTTGTAAAAGGCTTCAAGTTCTGCAATATTATTGGGTCATCTTGCATGAACAGCTCTTTTAAGAATAACCGGGCCTGGTTAGTTCAGTCAGTAGAGCATGAGACTCTTAATCTCAGGGTTGTGCATTACAGACACACAAGGAAAACAAAAAAATAAATAAATAAATACAGAAAAGAACCGTAATTAACAGCTCGGTTCGCTCAGTCGGTAGAGAATGTGACTTTTAATCTCAGCGTCGTGGCTTCAACTCCCACATTGGGTGAAATCTTTACTTAAGTACCACCTGCATCACTGCGACCATAGACCAACAGTGTCCTCATCCTCATCAGCAAGACTCCTTACAGTCAACACTCGAGCAACTGCGGGAAGCACTGCACATAGGCAAAGTCATAACTTTTCCTTGATCTCATTTCAACATGTAATGTCAACTACAACAACACTGCTGTCATTTGACATATTGTTTGATTGTAGACAACACATTCAACCAGACACACACACACAAAAAAAGGAAACACCTTAAATATGGGCCCGGTTAGCTCAGTCGGTAGAGCATGAGACTTTTAATCTCAGGGTCGTGGGTTCAAGTCCCACATTGGGCACAATCTTTACATGAGAACCACCTCTATCACTGAGATAAACTTACAAACAATGCCATAAACCAACAGTGTCCACATCCTCAGCATCAAGATTCCTTACACTCATTACTCGAGCAACTGCACAAAGAACTGCACATGGCAAAGTCATAACTTTTCCTTGATCTCAGTTCAACATGTAATGTCAGCTGCAACAACACTGCTGTCATTTGACATATTGTTTGATTTTAGGCAACACATACAACCAGACACAAACAGAAAAAATTACTGAACATGGGCCCGGTTAGCTCAGTCGGAAGAGCATGAGACTCTTAATCTCAGGGTTGTGGGTTCGAGCCCCACATTGGGCGCAATCTTTACATAAGTACCACCTGTATCACTTAGAGATACTTAACAAACCGACAGTGTCCTTATCCTTAGCATCAAGACTCATTACAATCAACCCCTGAGCAACTGCAGGAAGCACTGAACATGGCAAAGTCGTAAGTTATCCTTGATCTCAGTTCAACATGTAATGTCAACTGCAAAAACACTGCTGTCATTTGACATATTGTTTGATTGTAGACAACACATTCAACCAGACACACACACAAAAAAAAAAAAAAAATAAAAAAAAGGAAATGACCATAAATATGGGCCCGGTTAGCTCACTCGGTAGAGCATGAGACTCTTAATCTCAGGGTTGTGGGTTCGAGCCCCACATTGGGCGCAATCTTTACACAAGTACCACCTGTATCACTAGAGATACTTAACAAACGAACAGTGTCCTCATCCTTAGCATCAAGACTCATTACAATCAACCCTAGAGCAACTGCAGGAATTACTGAACATGGCAAAGTCATAAGTTATCCTTGATCTCAGTTCAACATGTAATGTCAACTGCAAAAACATTGCTGTCATTTGACATATTGTTTGATTGTAGACAACACATTCAACCAGACACACACACAAAAAAAAAAAGAAAAAAAAAAAAGGAAATGACCATAAATATGGGCACGGTTAGCTCAGTCGGTATAGCATGAGACTTTTAATCTCAGGGTCGTGGGTTCAAGTCCCACATTGGGCGCAATCTTTACATGAGAACGACCTCTATCACTGAGATAAACTTAAACACAATGCAATAAACCAACCGTGTCCTCATCCTCAGCATCAAGATTCCTTGCACTCATTACTCGAGCAACTGCAGGAACAACTGCACATGGCAAAGTCATTACTTTTCCTTGATCTCAGTTCAAAATGTAATGTCAGCTGCAACAACACTGCTGTCATTTGACATATTGTTTGATTTTAGGCAACACATACAACCAGACACAAACAGAAAAAAGCCCTGAACATGGGCCCAGTTAGCTCAGTCGGTAGAGCATGAGACTCTTAATCTCAGGGTCGTGGGTTCGAGCCCCACATTGGGCGCAATCTTTACATAAGTACCACCTGTATCACTTAGAAATACTTAACAAACGAACAGTGTCCTCATCCTTAGCCTCAAGACTCATTACAGTCAACCTTAAGCAACTGCAGGAAGCACTGAACATGGCAAAGTCGCAACTTTTCCATGATCTCAGTTCAACATGTAATGTCAACTGCAAAAACACTGCTGTCATTTGACATATTGTTTGATTGTAGACAACACATTCAACCAGACACATACACAAAAAAAAAAAAAAAAAAAAAAAAAGGAAATGACCATAAATATGGGCCCGGTTAGCTCAGTCGGTAGAGCATGAGACTTTTAATCTCAGGGTCGTGGGTTCAAGTCCCACATTGGGCGCAATCTTTACATGAGAACGACCTCTATCACTGAGATAAACTTAAAAACAATGCCATAAACCAACACTGTCCTCATCCAAAGCATCAAGATTCCTTGCACTCATTACTCGAGCAACTGCAGGAAGAACTGCACATGGCAAAGTCATAACTTTTCCTTGATCTCAGTTCAACATGTAATGTCAGCTGCAACAACACTGCTGTCATTTGACATATTGTTTTATTTTAGGCAACACATACAACCAGACACAAACAGAAAAAAGCCCTGAACATGGGCCCGGTTAGCTCAGTCGGTAGAGCATGAGACTCTTAATCTCAGGGTCGTGGGTTCGAGCCCCACATTGGGCGCAATCTTTACATAAGTACCACCTGTATCACTTAGAGATACTTAACAAACGAACAGTGTCCTCATCCTTAGCATCAAGACTCATTACAATCAACCCTCGAGCAACTGCAGGAAGCACTGAACATGGCAAAGTCATAAGTTATCCTTGATCTCAGTTCAACATGTAATGTCAACTGCAAAAACACTGCTGTCATTTGACATATTGTTTGATTGTAGACAACACATTCAACCAGACACACAAAAAAAAAAAAAAAAAAAAAAAAGGAAATGAGCCTAAATATGGGCCCGGTTAGCTCAGTCGGTAGAGCATGAGACTTTTAATCTCAGGGTCGTGGGTTCAAGTCCCACATTGGGCGCAATCTTTACATGAGAACGACCTCTATCACTGAGATAAACTTAAACACAATGCAATAAACCAACAGTGTCCTCATCCTCAGCATCAAGATTCCTTGCAAACATTACTCGAGCAACTGCAGGAACAACTGCACATGGCAAAGTCATTACTTTTCCTTGATCTCAGTTCAAAATGTAATGTCAGCTGCAACAACACTGCTGTCATTTGACATATTGTTTGATTTTAGGCAACACATACAACCAGACACAAACAGAAAAAATTACTGAACATGGGCCCGGTTAGCTCAGTCGGTAGAGCATGAGACTCTTAATCTCAGGGTCGTGGGTCCGAGCCCCACATTGGGCGCAATCTTTACATAAGTACCACCTGTATCACTTAGAGATACTTAACAAACGAACAGTGTCCTCCTCCTTAGCATCAAGACTCATTACAATCAACCTTAAGCAACTGCAGGAAGCACTGAACATGGCAAAGTCGCAACTTTTCCATGATCTCAGTTCAACATGTAATGTCAACTGCAAAAACACTGCTGTCATTTGACATATTGTTTGATTGTAGACAACACATTCAACCAGACACACACACAAAAAAAAAAATAAAAAAAAAAGGAAATGACCATAAATATGGGCCCGGTTAGCTCAGTCGGTAGAGCATGAGACTTTTAATCTCAGGGTCGTGGGTTCAAGTCCCACATTGGGCGCAATCTTTACATGAGAACGACCTCTATCACTGAGATAAACTTAAAAAACAATGCCATAAACCAACACTGTCCTCATCCAAAGCATCAAGATTCCTTGCACTCATTACTCGAGCAACTGCAGGAAGAACTGCACATGGCAAAGTCATAACTTTTCCTTGATCTCAGTTCAACATGTAATGTCAGCTGCAACAACACTGCTGTCATTTGACATATTGTTTTATTTTAGGCAACACATACAACCAGACACAAACAGAAAAAAAGCCCTGAACATGGGCCCGGTTAGCTCAGTCGGTAGAGCATGAGACTCTTAATCTCAGGGTCGTGGGTTCGAGCCCCACATTGGGCGCAATCTTTACATAAGTACCACCTGTATCACTTAGAGATACTTAACAAACGAACAGTGTCCTCATCCTTAGCATCAAGACTCATTACAATCAACCCTCGAGCAACTGCAGGAAGCACTGAACATGGCAAAGTCATAAGTTATCCTTGATCTCAGTTCAACATGTAATGTCAACCGCAAAAACACTGCTGTCATTTGACATATTGTTTGATTGTAGACAACACATTGGACCAGACACACACAAAAAAAAAAAAAAAAAAAAGGAAATGACCATAAATATGGGCCCGGTTAGCTCAGTCGGTAGAGCATGAGACTCTTAATCTCAGGGTCGTGGGTTCGAGCCCCACATTGGGCGCAATCTTTACATAAGTACCACCTGTATCACTTAGAGATACTTAACAAACGAACAGTGTCCTCCTCCTTAGCATCAAGACTCATTACAATCAACCTTAAGCAACTGCAGGAAGCACTGAACATGGCAAAGTCGCAACTTTTCCATGATCTCAGTTCAACATGTAATGTCAACTGCAAAAACACTGCTGTCATTTGACATATTGTTTGATTGTAGACAACACATTCAACCAGACACATACACAAAAAAAAAAAAAAAAAAAAAAAAAGGAAATGACCATAAATATGGGCCTGGTTAGCTCAGTCAGTAGAGCATGAGACTTTTAATCTCAGGGTCGTGGGTTCAAGTCCCACATTGGGCGCAATCTTTACATGAGAACCACCTCTATCACTGAGATAAACTTAAACACAATGCAATAAACCAACAGTGTCCTCATCCTCAGCATCAAGATTCCTTGCACTCATTGCTCGAGCAACTGCAGGAACAACTGCACATGGCAAAGTCATTACTTTTCCTTGATCTCAGTTCAAAATGTAATGTCAGCTGCAACAACACTGCTGTCATTTGACATATTGTTTGATTTTAGGCAACACATACAACCAGACACAAACAGAAAAAAGCCCTGAACATGGGCCCGGTTAGCTCAGTCGGTAGAGCATGAGACTCTTAATCTCAGGGTCGTGGGTTCGAGCCCCACATTGGGCGCAATCTTTACATAAGTACCACCTGTATCACTTAGAGATACTTAACAAACGAACAGTGTCCTCATCCTTAGCATCAAGACTCATTACAATCAACCCTAGTGCAACTGCAGGAATTACTGAACATGGCAAAGTCATAAAATATCCTTGATCTCAGTTCAACATGTAATGTCAACTGCAAAAACATTGCTGTCATTTGACATATTGTTTGATTGTAGACAACACATTCAACCAGACACACACACCAAAAAAAAAAAAAAAAAAAAAAGAAAATGACCATAAATATGGGCACGGTTAGCTCAGTCGGTATAGCATGAGACTTTTAATCTCAGGGTCGTGGGTTCAAGTCCCACATTGGGCGCAATCTTTGCATGAGAACGACCTCTATCACTGAGATAAACTTAAACACAATGCAATAAACCAACAGTGTCCTCATCCTCAGCATCAAGATTCCTTGCACTCATTACTCGAGCAACTGCAGGAACAACTGCACATGGCAAAGTCATTACTTTTCCTTGATCTCAGTTCAAAATGTAATGTCAGCTGCAACAACACTGCTGTCATTTGACATATTGTTTGATTTTAGGCAACACATACAACCAGACACAAACAGAAAAAATTACTGAACATGGGCCCGGTTAGCTCAGTCGGTAGAGCATGAGACTCTTAATCTCAGTGTCGTGGGTTCGAGCCCCACATTGGGCGCAATCTTTACATAAGTACCACCTGTATCACTTAGAAATACTTAACAAACGAACAGTGTCCTCATCCTTAGCCTCAAGACTCATTACAGTCAACCTTAAGCAACTGCAGGAAGCACTGAACATGGCAAAGTCGCAACTTTTCCATGATCTCATTTCAACATGTAATGTCAACTGCAAAAACATTGCTGTCATTTGACATATTGTTTGATTGTAGACAACACATTCAACCAGACACACACACAAAAAAAAAAAAAGGAAATGACCATAAATATGGGCCCGGTTAGCTCAGTCGGTAGAGCATGAGACTTTTAATCTCAGGGTCGTGGGTTCAAGTCCCACATTGGGCGCAATCTTTACATGAGAACCACCTCTATCACTGAGATAAACTTAAAAACAATGCCATAAACCAACACTGTCCTCATCCAAAGCATCAAGATTCCTTGCACTCATTACTCGAGCAACTGCAGGAAGAACTGCACATGGCAAAGTCATAACTTTTCCTTGATCTCAGTTCAACATGTAATGTCAGCTGCAACAACACTGCTGTCATTTGACATATTGTTTTATTTTAGGCAACACATACAACCAGACACAAACAGAAAAAATTACTGAACATGGGCCCGGTTAGCTCAGTCGGTAGAGCATGAGACTCTTAATCTCAGGGTCGTGGGTTCGAGCCCCACATTGGGCGCAATCTTTACATAAGTACCACCTGTATCACTTAGAGATACTTAACAAACGAACAGTGTCCTCCTCCTTAGCATCAAGACTCATTACAATCAACCTTAAGCAACTGCAGGAAGCACTGAACATGGCAAAGTCGCAACTTTTCCATGATCTCAGTTCAACATGTAATGTCAACTGCAAAAACACTGCTGTCATTTGACATATTGTTTGATTGTAGACAACACATTCAACCAGACACATACACAAAAAAAAAAAAAAAAAAAAAAAAAGGAAATGACCATAAATATGGGCCCGGTTAGCTCAGTCGGTAGAGCATGAGACTTTTAATCTCAGGGTCGTGGGTTCAAGTCCCACATTGGGCGCAATCTTTACATGAGAACCACCTCTATCACTGAGATAAACTTAAACACAATGCAATAAACCAACAGTGTCCTCATCCTCAGCATCAAGATTCCTTGCACTCATTGCTCGAGCAACTGCAGGAACAACTGCACATGGCAAAGTCATTACTTTTCCTTGATCTCAGTTCAAAATGTAATGTCAGCTGCAACAACACTGCTGTCATTTGACATATTGTTTGATTTTAGGCAACACATACAACCAGACACAAACAGAAAAAATTACTGAACATGGGCCCGGTTAGCTCAGTCGGTAGAGCATGAGACTCTTAATCTCAGGGTCGTGGGTTCGAGCCCCACATTGGGCGCAATCTTTACATAAGTACCACCTGTATCACTTAGAGATACTTAACAAACGAACAGTGTCCTCATCCTTAGCATCAAGACTCATTACAATCAACCCTAGAGCAACTGCAGGAATTACTGAACATGGCAAAGTCATAATTTATCCTTGATCTCAGTTCAACATGTAATGTCAACTGCAAAAACATTGCTGTCATTTGACATATTGTTTGATTGTAGACAACACATTCAACCAGACACACACACCAAAAAAAAAAAAGAAAAAAAAAAGGAAATGACCATAAATATGGGCACGGTTAGCTCAGTCGGTATAGCATGAGACTTTTAATCTCAGGGTCGTGGGTTCAAGTCCCACATAGGGCGCAATCTTTACATGAGAACGACCTCTATCACTGAGATAAACTTAAACACAATGCAATAAACCAACAGTGTCCTCATCCTCAGCATCAAGATTCCTTGCACTCATTACTCGAGCAACTGCAGGAACAACTGCACATGGCAAAGTCATTACTTTTCCTTGATCTCAGTTCAAAATGTAATGTCAGCTGCAACAACACTGCTGTCATTTGACATATTGTTTGATTTTAGGCAACACATACAACCAGACACAAACAGAAAAAAGCCCTGAACATGGGCCCGGTTAGCTCAGTCGGTAGAGCATGAGACTCTTAATCTCAGTGTCATGGGTTCGAGCCCCACATTGGGCGCAATCTTTACATAAGTACCACCTGTATCACTTAGAAATACTTAACAAACGAACAGTGTCCTCATCCTTAGCCTCAAGACTCATTACAGTCAACCTTAAGCAACTGAAGGAAGCACTGAACATGGCAAAGTTGCAACTTTTCCATGATCTCATTTCAACATGTAATGTCAACTGCAAAAACACTGCTGTCATTTGACATATTGTTTGATTGTAGACAACACATTCAACCAGACACATACACAAAAAAAAAAAAAAAAAAAAAAAAAGGAAATGACCATAAATATGGGCCCGGTTAGCTCAGTCGGTAGAGCATGAGACTTTTAATCTCAGGGTCGTGGGTTCAAGTCCCACATTGGGCGCAATCTTTACATGAGAACCACCTCTATCACTGAGATAAACTTAAAAACAATGCCATAAACCAACACTGTCCTCATCCAAAGCATCAAGATTCCTTGCACTCATTACTCGAGCAACTGCAGGAAGAACTGCACATGGCAAAGTCATAACTTTTCCTTGATCTCAGTTCAACATGTAATGTCAACTGCAAAAACACTGCTGTCATTTGACATATTGTTTGATTGTAGACAACACATTCAACCAGACACACACACAAAAAAAAATAAATATAAAAAAAAGGAAATGACCATAAATATGGGCCCGGTTAGCTCAGTCGGTAGAGCATGAGACTTTTAATCTCAGGGTCGTGGGTTCAAGTCCCACATTGGGCGCAATCTTTACATGAGAACCACCTCTATCACTGAGATAAACTTAAAAACAATGCAATAAACCAACAGTGTCCTCATCCTCAGCATCAAGATTCCTTGCACTCATTACTCGAGCAACTGCACATGGCAAAGTCATTACTTTTCCTTGATCTCAGTTCAAAATGTAATGTCAGCTGCAACAACACTGCTGTCATTTGACATATTGTTTGATTTTAGGCAACACATACAACCAGACACAAACAGAAAAAAGCCCTGAACATGGGCCCGGTTTGCTCAGTCGGTAGAGCATGAGACTCTTAATCTCAGGGTCGTGGGTTCGAGCCCCACATTGGGCGCAATCTTTACATAAGTACCACCTGTATCACTTAGAGATACTTAACAAACGAACAGTGTCCTCATCCTTAGCATCAAGACTCATTACAATCATCCTTAAGCAACTGCAGGAAGCACTGAACATGGCAAAGTCGCAACTTTTCCATGATCTCAGTTCAACATGTAATGTCAACTGCAAAAACACTGCTGTCATTTGACATATTGTTTGAATGTAGACAACACATTCAACCAGACACATAAACAAAAAAAGAAAAAAAAAAAAAAGGAAATGACCATAAATATGGGCCCGGTTAGCTCAGTCGGTAGAGCATGAGACTTTTAATCTCAGGTTCGTGGGTTCAAGTCCCACATTGGGCGCAATCTTTGCATGAGAACCACCTCTATCACTGTGATAAACTTAAAAACAATGCCATAAACCAACACTGTCCTCATCCAAAGCATCAAGATTCCTTGCACTCATTACTCGAGCAACTGCAGGAAGAACTGCACATGGCAAAGTCATAACTTTTCCTTGATCTCAGTTCAACATGTAATGTCAGCTGCAACAACACTGCTGTCATTTGACATATTGTTTTATTTTAGGCAACACATACAACCAGACACAAACAGAAAAAAGCCCTGAACATGGGCCCGGTTAGCTCAGTCGGTAGAGCATGAGACTCTAATTCTCAGGGTCGTGGGTTCGAGCCCCACATTGGGCGCAATCTTTACATAAGTACCACCTGTATCACTTAGAGATACTTAACAAACGAACAGTGTCCTCATCCTTAGCATCAAGACTCATTACAATCAACCCTCGAGCAACTGCAGGAAGCACTGAACATGGCAAAGTCTTAAGTTATCCTTGATCTCAGTTCAACATGTAATGTCAACTGCAAAAACACTGCTGTCATTTGACATATTGTTTGATTGTAGACAACACATTCAACCAGACACACACAAAAAAAAAAAAAAAAAAAAAAAGCAAAAAGAAATGACCATAAATATGGGCCCGGTTAGCTCAGTCGGTAGAGCATGAGACTTTTAATCTCAGGGTCGTGGGTTCAAGTCCCACATTGGGCGCAATCTTCACATGAGAACGACCTCTATCACTGAGATAAACTTAAAAACAATGCAATAAACCAACAGTGTCCTCATCCTCAGCATCAAGATTCCTTGCACTCATTACTCGAGCAACTGCACATGGCAAAGTCATTACTTTTCCTTGATCTCAGTTCAAAATGTAATGTCAGCTGCAACAACACTGCTGTCATTTGACATATTGTTTGATTTTAGGCAACACATACAACCAGACACAAACAGAAAAAAGCCCTGAACATGGGCCCGGTTTGCTCAGTCGGTAGAGCATGAGACTCTTAATCTCAGGGTCGTGGGTTCGAGCCCCACATTGGGCGCAATCTTTACATAAGTACCACCTGTATCACTTAGAGATACTTAACAAACGAACAGTGTCCTCATCCTTAGCATCAAGACTCATTACAATCATCCTTAAGCAACTGCAGGAAGCACTGAACATGGCAAAGTCGCAACTTTTCCATGATCTCAGTTCAACATGTAATGTCAACTGCAAAAACACTGCTGTCATTTGACATATTGTTTGAATGTAGACAACACATTCAACCAGACACATAAACAAAAAAAAAAAAAAAAAAAAAAAAGGAAATGACCATAAATATTGGCCCGGTTAGCTCAGTCGGTAGAGCATGAGACTTTTAATCTCAGGGTCGTGGGTTAAAGTCCCACATTGGGCGCAATCTTTGCATGAGAACCACCTCTATCACTGAGATAAACTTAAAAACAATGCCATAAACCAACACTGTCCTCATCCAAATCATCAAGATTCCTTGCACTCATTACTCGAGCAACTGCAAGGAAGAACTGCACATGGCAAAGTCATTACTTTTCCTTGATCTCAGTTCAAAATGTAATGTCAGCTGCAACAACACTGCTGTCATTTGACATATTGTTTGATTTTAGGCAACACATACAACCAGACACAAACAGAAAAAATTACTGAACATGGGCCCGGTTAGCTCAGTCGGTAGAGCATGAGACTCTTAATCTCAGGGTCGTGGGTTCGAGCCCCACATTGGGCGCAATCTTTACATAAGTACCACCTGTATCACTTAGAGATACTTAACAAACGAACAGTGTCCTCATCCTTAGCATCAAGACTCATTACAATCAACCCTCGAGCAACTGCAGGAAGCACTGAACATGGCAAAGTCATAAGTTATCCTTGATCTCAGTTCAACATGTAATGTCAACTGCAAAAACACTGCTGTCATTTGACATATTGTTTGATTGTAGACACCACATACAACCATACACAAAAAAAAAAAAAAAAAAAAAAAGGAAATGAGCCTAAATATGGGCCCGGTTAGCTCAGTCGGTAGAGCATGAGACTTTTAATCTTAGGGTCGTGGGTTCAAGTCCCACATTGGGCGCAATCTTTACATGAGAACGACCTCTATCACTGAGATAAACTTAAACACAATGCAATAAACCAACAGTGTCCTCATCCTCAGCATCAAGATTCCTTGCACTCATTACTCGAGCAACTGCAGGAACAACTGCACATGGCAAAGTCATAACTTTTCCTTGATCTCAGTTCAACATGTAATGTCAGCTGCAACAACACTGCTGTCATTTGACATATTGTTTCATTTTAGGCAACACATACAACCAGACACAAACAGAAAAAATTACTGAACATGGGCCCGGTTAGCTCAGTCGGTAGAGCATGAGACTCTTAATCTCAGGGTCGTGGGTTCGAGCCCCACATTGGGCGCAATCTTTACATAAGTACCACCTGTATCACTTAGAGATACTTAACAAACGAACAGTGTCCTCATCCTTAGCATCAAGACTCATTACAATCAACCCTAGAGCAACTGCAGGAATTACTGAACATGGCAAAGTCATAAGTTATCCTTGATCTCAGTTCAACATGTAATGTCAACTGCAAAAAACTGCTGTCATTTGACATATTGTTTTATTGTTGACAACACATTCAACCAGACACACACACACACAAAAAAAAAAGAAAAAAAGGAAATGAGCCTAAATATGGGCCCGGTTAGCTCAGTCGGTAGAGCATGAGACTTTTAATCTCAGGGTCGTGGGTTCAAGTCCCACATTGGGCGCAATCTTTACATGAGAACCACCTCTATCACTGAGATAAACTTAAAAACAATGCCATAAGCCAACAGTGTCCTCATCCTCAGCATCAAGATTCCTTGCACTCATTACTCGAGCAACTGCAGGAAGAACTGCACATGGCAAAGTCATTACTTTTCCTTGATCTCAGTTCAAAATGTAATGTCAGCTGCCACAACACTGCTGTCATTTGACATATTGTTTGATGTTAGGCAACACATACAACCAGACACAAACAGAAAAAATTACTGAACATGGGCCTTGTTAGCTCAGTCGGTAGAGCATGAGACTTTTAATCTCAGGGTCATGGGTTCAAGTCCCACATTGGGTGCAATCTATACATGAGAACCACCTCTATCACTGAGATAAACTTAAAAACAATGCCATAAACCAACAGTGTCCTCATCCTCAGCATCAAGATTCCTTACACTCATTACTCGAGCAACTGCAGGAAGAATTGCACATGGGAAAGTCGTAACTTTTCCTTGATCTCAGTTCAACATATAATGTCAGCTGCAACAACACTGCTATCATTTGACATATTGTTTTATTTTAGACAACACATTCAACCAGACACACACACAAAAAAAAAAAAAAAAAAAAAAGGAAATGACCATTAATATGGGCCCGGTTAGCTCAGTCGGTAGAGCATGAGACTTTTAATCTCAGGGTCGAGGGTTCAAGTCCCACATTGGGCGCATTCTTTACATGAGTACCAACTGTATCACTGAGATAAACCTAACAACAATGCCATAATGCCATAAACAACACTGTCCTCATCCTCAGCATCAAGATTCCTTACACTCATTACTCGAGCAACTGCAGGAAGAACTGCACATGGCAAAGTCATAACTTTTCCTTGATCTCAGTTCAACATGTAATGTCAACTGCAAAAACACTGCTGTCATTTGACATATTGTTTGATTGTAGACAACACATTCAACCAGACACACACACAAAAAAAAAAAAAAAAAAAAAAAAAAGGGAAATGACCATAAATATGGGCCCGGTTAGCTCAGTCGGTAGAGCATGAGACTTTTAATCTCAGGGTCGTGGGTTCAAGTCCCACATTGGGCGCAATCTTTACATGAGAACGACCTCTATCACTGAGATAAACTTAAACACAATGCAATAAACCAACAGCGTCCTCATCCTCAGCATCAAGATTCCTTGCACTCATTACTCGAGCAACTGCAGGAACAACTGCACATGTGCAAAGTCATTACTTTTCCTTGATCTCAGTTCAACATGTAATGTCAGCTGCAACAACACTGCTGTCATTTGACATATTGTTTTATTTTAGGCAACACATACAACCAGACACAAACAGAAAAAATTACTGAACATGGGCCCGGTTAGCTCAGTCGGTAGAGCATGAGACTCTTAATCTCAGGGTCGTGGGTTCGAGCCCCACATTGGGCGCAATCTTTACATAAGTACCACCTGTATCACTTAGAGATACTTAACAAACGAACAGTGTCCTCATCCTTAGCATCAAGACTCATTACAATCAACCTCGAGCAACTGCAGGAAGCACTGAACATGGCAAAGTCGCAACTTTTCCATGATCTCAGTTCAACATGTAATGTCAACTGCAAAAACACTGCTGTCATTTGACATATTGTTTGATTGTAGACAACACATTCAACCAGACACACACACAAAAAAAAAAAAAAAAAAAAAAGGAAATGAGCCTAAATATGGGCCCGGTTAGCTCAGTCGGTAGAGCATGAGACTTTTAATCTCAGGGTCGTGGGTTCAAGTCCCACATTGGGCGCAATCTTTACATGAGAACCACCTCTATCACTGAGATAAACTTAAAAACAATGCAATAAACCAACACTGTCCTCATCCTCAGCATCAAGATTCCTTGCACTCATTACTGGAGCAACTGCAGGAAGAACTGCACATGGCAAAGTCATTACTTTTCCTTGATCTCAGTTCAAAATGTAATGTCAGCTGCAACAACACTGCTGTCATTTGGCATATTGTTTGATTTTAGGCAACACATACAACCAGACACAAACAGAACAAATTACTGAACATGGGCCCGGTTAGCTCAGTCGGTAGAGCATGAGACTCTTAATCTCAGGGTCGTGGGTTCGAGCCCCACATTGGGCGCAATCTTTACATAAGTACCACCTGTATCACTTAGAGATACTTAACAAACGAACAGTGTCCTCATCCTTAGCATCAAGACTCATTACAATCAACCCTCGAGCAACTGCAGGAAGCACTGAACATGGCAAAGTCATAAGTTATCCTTGATCTCAGTTCAACATGTAATGTCAACTGCAAAAACACTGCTGTCATTTGACATATTGTTTGATTGTAGACAACACATTCAACCAGACACACACAAAAAAAAAAAAAAAAAAAAAAAGGAAATGAGCCTAAATATGGGCCCGGTTAGCTCAGTCGGTAGAGCATGAGACTTTTAATCTCAGGGTCGTGGGTTCAAGTCCCACATTGGGCGCAATCTTTACATGAGAACCACCTCTATCACTGAGATAAACTTAAAAACAATGCCATAAACCAACAGTGTCCTCATCCTCAGCATCAAGATTCCTTGCACTCATTACTCGAGCAACTGCAGGAAGAACTGCACATGGCAAAGTCATTACTTTTCCTTGATCTCAGTTCAAAATGTAATGTCAGCTGCCACAACACTGCTGTCATTTGACATATTGTTTGATTTTAGGCAACACATACAACCAGACACAAACAGAAAAAATTACTGAACATGGGCCTGTTAGCTCAGTCGGTAGAGCATGAGACTTTTAATCTCAGGGTCATGGGTTCAAGTCCCACATTGGGTGCAATCTATACATGAGAACCACCTCTATCACTGAGATAAACTTAAAAACAATGCCATAAACCAACAGTGTCCTCATCCTCAGCATCAAGATTCCTTACACTCATTACTCGAGCAACTGCAGGAAGAATTGCACATGGGAAAGTCGTAACTTTTCCTTGATCTCAGTTCAACATATAATGTCAGCTGCAACAACACTGCTGTCATTTGACATATTGTTTTATTTTAGACAACACATTCAACCAGACACACACACAAAAAAAAAAAAAAAAAAAAGGAAATGACCATTAATATGGGCCCGGTTAGCTCAGTCGGTAGAGCATGAGACTTTTAATCTCAGGGTCGAGGGTTCAAGTCCCACATTGGGCGCATTCTTTACATGAGTACCAACTGTATCACTGAGATAAACCTAACAACAATGCCATAAACAACACTGTCCTCATCCTCAGCATCAAGATTCCTTACACTCATTACTCGAGCAACTGCAGGAAGCACTGAACATGGCAAAGTCATAACTTTTCCTTGATCTCAGTTCAACATGTAATGTCAACTGCAAAAACACTGCTGTCATTTGACATATTGTTTGATTGTAGACACCACATTCAACCAGACACACACAAAAAAAAAAAAAAAAAAAAAGGAAATGAGCCTAAATATGGGCCCGGTTAGCTCAGTCGGTAGAGCATGAGACTTTTAATCTTAGGGTCGTGGGTTCAAGTCCCACATTGGGCGCAATCTTTACATGAGAACGACCTCTATCACTGAGATAAACTTAAACACAATGCAATAAACCAACAGTGTCCTCATCCTCAGCATCAAGATTCCTTGCACTCATTACTCGAGCAACTGCAGGAACAACTGCACATGGCAAAGTCATAACTTTTCCTTGATCTCAGTTCAACATGTAATGTCAGCTGCAACAACACTGCTGTCATTTGACATATTGTTTTATTTTAGGCAACACATACAACCAGACACAAACAGAAAAAATTACTGAACATGGGCCCGGTTAGCTCAGTCGGTAGAGCATGAGACTCTTAATCTCAGGGTCGTGGGTTCGAGCCCCACATTGGGCGCAATCTTTACATAAGTACCACCTGTATCACTTAGAGATACTTAACAAACGAACAGTGTCCTCATCCTTAGCATCAAGACTCATTACAATCAACCCTAGAGCAACTGCAGGAAGCACTGAACATGGCAAAGTCATAAGTTATCCTTGATCTCAGTTCAACATGTAATGTCAACTGCAAAAAACTGCTGTCATTTGACATATTGTTTGATTGTAGACAACACATTCAACCAGACACACACACAAAAAAAAAAAAAAAAAAAAAAGGAAATGAGCCTAAATATGGGCCCGGTTAGCTCAGTCGGTAGAGCATGAGACTTTTAATCTCAGGGTCGTGGGTTCAAGTCCCACATTGGGCGCAATCTTTACATGAGAACCACCTCTATCACTGAGATAAACTTAAAAACAATGCCATAAACCAACAGTGTCCTCATCCTCAGCATCAAGATTCCTTGCACTCATTACTCGAGCAACTGCAGGAAGAACTGCACATGGCAAAGTCATTAACTTTTCCTTGATCTCAGTTCAACATGTAATGTCAGCTGCAACAACACTGCTGTCATTTGACATATTGTTTGATTTAGGCAACACATACAACCAGACACAAACAGAAAAAATTACTGAACAAATGGGCCTTGTTAGCTCAGTCGGTAGAGCATGAGACTTTTAATCTCAGGGTCATGGGTTCAAGTCCCACATTGGGTGCAATCTATACATGAGAACCACCTCTATCACTGAGATAAACTTAAAAACAATGCCATAAACCAACAGTGTCCTCATCCTCAGCATCAAGATTCCTTACACTCATTACTCGAGCAACTGCAGGAAGAATTGCACATGGGAAAGTCGTAACTTTTCCTTGATCTCAGTTCAACATATAATGTCAGCTGCAACAACACTGCTGTCATTTGACATATTGTTTTATTTTAGACAACACATTCAACCAGACACACACACAAAAAAAAAAAAAAAAAAAAACGGAAATGACCATTAATATGGGCCCGGTTAGCTCAGTCGGTAGAGCATGAGACTTTTAATCTCAGGGTCGAGGGTTCAAGTCCCACATTGGGCGCATTCTTTACATGAGTACCAACTGTATCACTGAGATAAACCTAACAACAATGCCATAATGCCATAAACAACACTGTCCCTCCTCAGCATCAAGATTCCTTACACTCATTACTCGAGCAACTGCAGGAAGAACTGCACATGGCAAAGTCATAACTTTTCCTTGATCTCAGTTCAACATGTAATGTCAACTGCAAAAACACTGCTGTCATTTGACATATTGTTTGATTGTAGACAACACATTCAACCAGACACACACACAAAAAAAAAAAAAAAAAAAAAGGAAATGACCATAAATATGGGCCCGGTTAGCTCAGTCGGTAGAGCATGAGACTTTTAATCTCAGGGTCGTGGGTTCAAGTCCCACATTGGGCGCAATCTTTACATGAGAACGACCTCTATCACTGAGATAAACTTAAACACAATGCAATAAACCAACAGCGTCCTCATCCTCAGCATCAAGATTCCTTGCACTCATTACTCGAGCAACTGCAGGAACAACTGCACATGTGCAAAGTCATTACTTTTCCTTGATCTCAGTTCAACATGTAATGTCAGCTGCAACAACACTGCTGTCATTTGACATATTGTTTTATTTTAGGCAACACATACAACCAGACACAAACAGAAAAAATTACTGAACATTGGCCCGGTTAGCTCAGTCGGTAGAGCATGAGACTCTTAATCTCAGGGTCGTGGGTTCGAGCCCCACATTGGGCGCAATCTTTACATAAGTACCACCTGTATCACTTAGAGATACTTAACAAACAAACAGTGTCCTCATCCTTAGCCTCAAGACTCATTACAGTCAACCTCAAGCAACTGCAGGAAGCACTGAACATGGCAAAGTCGCAACTTTTCCATGATCTCAGTTCAACATGTAATGTCAACTGCAAAAACACTGCTGTCATTTGACATATTGTTTGATTGTAGACACCACATTCAACCAGACACACACAAAAAAAAAAAAAAAAAAAAAAAAGGAAATGAGCCTAAATATGGGCCCGGTTAGCTCAGTCGGTAGAGCATGAGACTTTTAATCTCAGGGTCGTGGGTTCAAGTCCCACATTGGGCGCAATCTTTACATGAGAACCACCTCTATCACTGAGATAAACTTAAAAACAATGCAATAAACCAACACTGTCCTCATCCTCAGCATCAAGATTCCTTGCACTCATTACTGGAGCAACTGCAGGAAGAACTGCACATGGCAAAGTCATTACTTTTCCTTGATCTCAGTTCAAAATGTAATGTCAGCTGCAACAACACTGCTATCATTTGGCATATTGTTTGATTTTAGGCAACACATACAACCAGACACAAACAGAACAAATTACTGAACATGGGCCCGGTTAGCTCAGTCGGTAGAGCATGAGACTCTTAATCTCAGGGTCGTGGGTTCGAGCCCCACATTGGGCGCAATCTTTACATAAGTACCACCTGTATCACTTAGAGATACTTAACAAACGAACAGTGTCCTCATCCTTAGCATCAAGACTCATTACAATCAACCCTCGAGCAACTGCAGGAAGCACTGAACATGGCAAAGTCATAAGTTATCCTTGATCTCAGTTCAACATGTAATGTCAACTGCAAAAACACTGCTGTCATTTGACATATTGTTTGATTGTAGACACCACATTCAACCAGACACACACAAAAAAAAAGAAAAAAAAAGGAAATGAGCCTAAATATGGGCCCGGTTAGCTCAGTCGGTAGAGCATGAGACTTTTAATCTCAGGGTCGTGGGTTCAAGTCCCACATTGGGCGCAATCTTTACATGAGAACGACCTCTATCACTGAGATAAACTTAAACACAATGCAATAAACCAACAGTGTCCTCATCCTCAGCATCAAGATTCCTTGCACTCATTACTCGAGCAACTGCAGGAACAACTGCACATGGCAAAGTCATAACTTTTCCTTGATCTCAGTTCAACATGTAATGTCAGCTGCAACAACACTGCTGTCATTTGACATATTGTTTTATTTTAGGCAACACATACAACCAGACACAAACAGAAAAAATTACTGAACATGGGCCCGGTTAGCTCAGTCGGTAGAGCATGAGACTCTTAATCTCAGGGTCGTGGGTTCGAGCCCCACATTGGGCGCAATCTTTACATAAGTACCACCTGTATCACTTAGAGATACTTAACAAACGAACAGTGTCCTCATCCTTAGCATCAAGACTCATTACAATCAACCCTAGAGCAACTGCAGGAATTACTGAACATGGCAAAGTCATAAGTTATCCTTGATCTCAGTTCAACATGTAATGTCAACTGCAAAAAACTGCTGTCATTTGACATATTGTTTTATTGTAGACAACACATTCAACCAGACACACACACACACAAAAAAAAAAGAAAAAAAGGAAATGAGCCTAAATATGGGCCCGGTTAGCTCAGTCGGTAGAGCATGAGACTTTTAATCTCAGGGTCGTGGGTTCAAGTCCCACATTGGGCGCAATCTTTACATGAGAACCACCTCTATCACTGAGATAAACTTAAAAACAATGCCATAAGCCAACAGTGTCCTCATCCTCAGCATCAAGATTCCTTGCACTCATTACTCGAGCAACTGCAGGAAGAACTGCACATGGCAAAGTCATTACTTTTCCTTGATCTCAGTTCAAAATGTAATGTCAGCTGCCACAACACTGCTGTCATTTGACATATTGTTTGATGTTAGGCAACACATACAACCAGACACAAACAGAAAAAATTACTGAACATGGGCCTTGTTAGCTCAGTCGGTAGAGCATGAGACTTTTAATCTCAGGGTCATGGGTTCAAGTCCCACATTGGGTGCAATCTATACATGAGAACCACCTCTATCACTGAGATAAACTTAAAAACAATGCCATAAACCAACAGTGTCCTCATCCTCAGCATCAAGATTCCTTACACTCATTACTCGAGCAACTGCAGGAAGAATTGCACATGGGAAAGTCGTAACTTTTCCTTGATCTCAGTTCAACATATAATGTCAGCTGCAACAACACTGCTGTCATTTGACATATTGTTTTATTGTAGACAACACATTCAACCAGACACACACACAAAAAAAAAAAAAAAAAAAAGGAAATGACCATTAATATGGGCCCGGTTAGCTCAGTCGGTAGAGCATGAGACTTTTAATCTCAGGGTCGAGGGTTCAAGTCCCACATTGGGCGCATTCTTTACATGAGTACCAACTGTATCACTGAGATAAACCTAACAACAATGCCATAATGCCATAAACAACACTGTCCTCATCCTCAGCATCAAGATTCCTTACACTCATTACTCGAGCAACTGCAGGAAGAACTGCACATGGCAAAGTCATAACTTTTCCTTGATCTCAGTTCAACATGTAATGTCAACTGCAAAAACACTGCTGTCATTTGACATATTGTTTGATTGTAGACAACACATTCAACCAGACACACACACAAAAAAAAAAAAAAAAAAAAAAAAAGGAAATGACCACAAATATGGGCCCGGTTAGCTCAGTCGGTAGAGCATGAGACTTTTAATCTCAGGGTCGTGGGTTCAAGTCCCACATTGGGCGCAATCTTTACATGAGAACGACCTCTATCACTGAGATAAACTTAAACACAATGCAATAAACCAACAGCGTCCTCATCCTCAGCATCAAGATTCCTTGCACTCATTACTCGAGCAACTGCAGGAACAACTGCACATGTGCAAAGTCATTACTTTTCCTTGATCTCAGTTCAACATGTAATGTCAGCTGCAACAACACTGCTGTCATTTGACATATTGTTTTATTTTAGGCAACACATACAACCAGACACAAACAGAAAAAATTACTGAACATTGGCCCGGTTAGCTCAGTCGGTAGAGCATGAGACTCTTAATCTCAGGGTCGTGGGTTCGAGCCCCACATTGGGCGCAATCTTTACATAAGTACCACCTGTATCACTTAGAGATACTTAACAAACAAACAGTGTCCTCATCCTTAGCCTCAAGACTCATTACAGTCAACCTCAAGCAACTGCAGGAAGCACTGAACATGGCAAAGTCGCAACTTTTCCATGATCTCAGTTCAACATGTAATGTCAACTGCAAAAACACTGCTGTCATTTGACATATTGTTTGATTGTAGACACCACATTCAACCAGACACACACAAAAAAAAAAAAAAAAAAAAAAAGGAAATGAGCCTAAATATGGGCCCGGTTAGCTCAGTCGGTAGAGCATGAGACTTTTAATCTCAGGGTCGTGGGTTCAAGTCCCACATTGGGCGCAATCTTTACATGAGAACCACCTCTATCACTGAGATAAACTTAAAAACAATGCAATAAACCAACACTGTCCTCATCCTCAGCATCAAGATTCCTTGCACTCATTACTGGAGCAACTGCAGGAAGAACTGCACATGGCAAAGTCATTACTTTTCCTTGATCTCAGTTCAAAATGTAATGTCAGCTGCAACAACACTGCTATCATTTGGCATATTGTTTGATTTTAGGCAACACATACAACCAGACACAAACAGAAACAAATTACTGAACATGGGCCCGGTTAGCTCAGTCGGTAGAGCATGAGACTCTTAATCTCAGGGTCGTGGGTTCGAGCCCCACATTGGGCGCAATCTTTACATAAGTACCACCTGTATCACTTAGAGATACTTAACAAACGAACAGTGTCATCATCCTTAGCATCAAGACTCATTACAATCAACCCTCGAGCAACTGCAGGAAGCACTGAACATGGCAAAGTCATAAGTTATCCTTGATCTCAGTTCAACATGTAATGTCAACTGCAAAAACACTGCTGTCATTTGACATATTGTTTGATTGTAGACACCACATTCAACCAGACACACACAAAAAAAAAGAAAAAAAAAAAAAAGGAAATGAGCCTAAATATGGGCCCGGTTAGCTCAGTCGGTAGAGCATGAGACTTTTAATCTCAGGGTCGTGGGTTCAAGTCCCACATTGGGCGCAATCTTTACATGAGAACCACCTCTATCACTGAGATAAACTTAAAAACAATGCCATAAGCCAACAGTGTCCTCATCCTCAGCATCAAGATTCCTTGCACTCATTACTCGAGCAACTGCAGGAAGAACTGCACATGGCAAAGTCATTACTTTTCCTTGATCTCAGTTCAAAATGTAATGTCAGCTGCCACAACACTGCTGTCATTTGACATATTGTTTGATTTTAGGCAACACATACAACCAGACACAAACAGAAAAAATTACTGAACATGGGCCTTGTTAGCTCAGTCGGTAGAGCATGAGACTTTTAATCTCAGGGTCATGGGTTCAAGTCCCACATTGGGTGCAATCTATACATGAGAACCACCTCTATCACTGAGATAAACTTAAAAACAATGCCATAAACCAACAGTGTCCTCATCCTCAGCATCAAGATTCCTTACACTCATTACTCGAGCAACTGCAGGAAGAATTGCACATGGGAAAGTCGTAACTTTTCCTTGATCTCAGTTCAACATATAATGTCAGCTGCAACAACACTGCTGTCATTTGACATATTGTTTTATTTTAGACAACACATTCAACCAGACACACACACAAAAAAAAAAGAAAAAAAAAACGGAAATGACCATTAATATGGGCCCGGTTAGCTCAGTCGGTAGAGCATGAGACTTTTAATCTCAGGGTCGAGGGTTCAAGTCCCACATTGGGCGCATTCTTTACATGAGTACCAACTGTATCACTGAGATAAACCTAACAACAATGCCATAAACAACACTGTCCTCATCCTCAGCATCAAGATTCCTTACACTCATTACTCGAGCAACTGCAGGAAGCACTGAACATGGCAAAGTCATAACTTTTCCTTGATCTCAGTTCAACATGTAATGTCAACTGCAAAAACACTGCTGTCATTTGACATATTGTTTGATTGTAGACACCACATTCAACCAGACACACACAAAAAAAAAGAAAAAAAAAAAAAAGGAAATGAGCCTAAATATGGGCCCGGTTAGCTCAGTCGGTAGAGCATGAGACTTTTAATCTTAGGGTCGTGGGTTCAAGTCCCACATTGGGCGCAATCTTTACATGAGAACGACCTCTATCACTGAGATAAACTTAAACACAATGCAATAAACCAACAGTGTCCTCATCCTCAGCATCAAGATTCCTTGCACTCATTACTCGAGCAACTGCAGGAACAACTGCACATGGCAAAGTCATAACTTTTCCTTGATCTCAGTTCAACATGTAATGTCAGCTGCAACAACACTGCTGTCATTTGACATATTGTTTTATTTTAGGCAACACATACAACCAGACACAAACAGAAAAAATTACTGAACATGGGCCCGGTTAGCTCAGTCGGTAGAGCATGAGACTCTTAATCTCAGGGTCGTGGGTTCGAGCCCCACATTGGGCGCAATCTTTACATAAGTACCACCTGTATCACTTAGAGATACTTAACAAACGAACAGTGTCCTCATCCTTAGCATCAAGACTCATTACAATCAACCCTAGAGCAACTGCAGGAATTACTGAACATGGCAAAGTCATAAGTTATCCTTGATCTCAGTTCAACATGTAATGTCAACTGCAAAAAACTGCTGTCATTTGACATATTGTTTTATTGTTGACAACACATTCAACCAGACACACACACACACAAAAAAAAAAGAAAAAAAGGAAATGAGCCTAAATATGGGCCCGGTTAGCTCAGTCGGTAGAGCATGAGACTTTTAATCTCAGGGTCGTGGGTTCAAGTCCCACATTGGGCGCAATCTTTACATGAGAACCACCTCTATCACTGAGATAAACTTAAAAACAATGCCATAAGCCAACAGTGTCCTCATCCTCAGCATCAAGATTCCTTGCACTCATTACTCGAGCAACTGCAGGAAGAACTGCACATGGCAAAGTCATTACTTTTCCTTGATCTCAGTTCAAAATGTAATGTCAGCTGCCACAACACTGCTGTCATTTGACATATTGTTTGATGTTAGGCAACACATACAACCAGACACAAACAGAAAAAATTACTGAACATGGGCCTTGTTAGCTCAGTCGGTAGAGCATGAGACTTTTAATCTCAGGGTCATGGGTTCAAGTCCCACATTGGGTGCAATCTATACATGAGAACCACCTCTATCACTGAGATAAACTTAAAAACAATGCCATAAACCAACAGTGTCCTCATCCTCAGCATCAAGATTCCTTACACTCATTACTCGAGCAACTGCAGGAAGAATTGCACATGGGAAAGTCGTAACTTTTCCTTGATCTCAGTTCAACATATAATGTCAGCTGCAACAACACTGCTGTCATTTGACATATTGTTTTATTTTAGACAACACATTCAACCAGACACACACACAAAAAAAAAAAAAAAAGGAAATGACCATTAATATGGGCCCGGTTAGCTCAGTCGGTAGAGCATGAGACTTTTAATCTCAGGGTCGAGGGTTCAAGTCCCACATTGGGCGCATTCTTTACATGAGTACCAACTGTATCACTGAGATAAACCTAACAACAATGCCATAATGCCATAAACAACACTGTCCTCATCCTCAGCATCAAGATTCCTTACACTCATTACTCGAGCAACTGCAGGAAGAACTGCACATGGCAAAGTCATAACTTTTCCTTGATCTCAGTTCAACATGTAATGTCAACTGCAAAAACACTGCTGTCATTTGACATATTGTTTGATTGTAGACAACACATTCAACCAGACACACACACACAAAAAAAAAAAAAAAAAAAAAAAAGGGAAATGACCACAAATATGGGCCCGGTTAGCTCAGTCGGTAGAGCATGAGACTTTTAATCTCAGGGTCGTGGGTTCAAGTCCCACATTGGGCGCAATCTTTACATGAGAACGACCTCTATCACTGAGATAAACTTAAACACAATGCAATAAACCAACAGCGTTCTCATCCTCAGCATCAAGATTCCTTGCACTCATTACTCGAGCAACTGCAGGAACAACTGCACATGTGCAAAGTCATTACTTTTCCTTGATCTCAGTTCAACATGTAATGTCAGCTGCAACAACACTGCTGTCATTTGACATATTGTTTTATTTTAGGCAACACATACAACCAGACACAAACAGAAAAAATTACTGAACATTGGCCCGGTTAGCTCAGTCGGTAGAGCATGAGACTCTTAATCTCAGGGTCGTGGGTTCGAGCCCCACATTGGGCGCAATCTTTACATAAGTACCACCTGTATCACTTAGAGATACTTAACAAACAAACAGTGTCCTCATCCTTAGCCTCAAGACTCATTACAGTCAACCTCAAGCAACTGCAGGAAGCACTGAACATGGCAAAGTCGCAACTTTTCCATGATCTCAGTTCAACATGTAATGTCAACTGCAAAAACACTGCTGTCATTTGACATATTGTTTGATTGTAGACACCACATTCAACCAGACACACACAAAAAAAAAGAAAAAAAAAAAAAAGGAAATGAGCCTAAATATGGGCCCGGTTAGCTCAGTCGGTAGAGCATGAGACTTTTAATCTCAGGGTCGTGGGTTCAAGTCCCACATTGGGCGCAATCTTTACATGAGAACCACCTCTATCACTGAGATAAACTTAAAAACAATGCAATAAACCAACACTGTCCTCATCCTCAGCATCAAGATTCCTTGCACTCATTACTGGAGCAACTGCAGGAAGAACTGCACATGGCAAAGTCATTACTTTTCCTTGATCTCAGTTCAAAATGTAATGTCAGCTGCAACAACACTGCTATCATTTGGCATATTGTTTGATTTTAGGCAACACATACAACCAGACACAAACAGAACAAATTACTGAACATGGGCCCGGTTAGCTCAGTCGGTAGAGCATGAGACTCTTAATCTCAGGGTCGTGGGTTCGAGCCCCACATTGGGCGCAATCTTTACATAAGTACCACCTGTATCACTTAGAGATACTTAACAAACGAACAGTGTCCATCATCCTTAGCATCAAGACTCATTACAATCAACCCTCGAGCAACTGCAGGAAGCACTGAACATGGCAAAGTCATAAGTTATCCTTGATCTCAGTTCAACATGTAATGTCAACTGCAAAAACACTGCTGTCATTTGACATATTGTTTGATTGTAGACACCACATTCAACCAGACACACACAAAAAAAAAGAAAAAAAAAAAAAAGGAAATGAGCCTAAATATGGGCCCGGTTAGCTCAGTCGGTAGAGCATGAGACTTTTAATCTCAGGGTCGTGGGTTCAAGTCCCACATTGGGCGCAATCTTTACATGAGAACGACCTCTATCACTGAGATAAACTTAAACACAATGCAATAAACCAACAGTGTCCTCATCCTCAGCATCAAGATTCCTTGCACTCATTACTCGAGCAACTGCAGGAACAACTGCACATGGCAAAGTCATAACTTTTCCTTGATCTCAGTTCAACATGTAATGTCAGCTGCAACAACACTGCTGTCATTTGACATATTGTTTTATTTTAGGCAACACATACAACCAGACACAAACAGAAAAAATTACTGAACATGGGCCCGGTTAGCTCAGTCGGTAGAGCATGAGACTCTTAATCTCAGGGTCGTGGGTTCGAGCCCCACATTGGGCGCAATCTTTACATAAGTACCACCTGTATCACTTAGAGATACTTAACAAACGAACAGTGTCCTCATCCTTAGCATCAAGACTCATTACAATCAACCCTAGAGCAACTGCAGGAATTACTGAACATGGCAAAGTCATAAGTTATCCTTGATCTCAGTTCAACATGTAATGTCAACTGCAAAAAACTGCTGTCATTTGACATATTGTTTGATTGTAGACAACACATTCAACCAGACACACACACAAAAAAAAAAAAAAGGAAATGAGCCTAAATATGGGCCCGGTTAGCTCAGTCGGTAGAGCATGAGACTTTTAATCTCAGGGTCGTGGGTTCAAGTCCCACATTGGGCGCAATCTTTACATGAGTATCAACTGTATCACTGAGATAAACCTAACAACAATGCCATAAACCAACAGTGTCCTCATCCAAAGCATCAAGATTCCTTACACTCATTACTCGAGCAACTGCAGGAAGAACTGCACATGGCAAAGTCATTACTTTTCCTTGATCTCAGTTCAAAATGTAATGTCAGCTGCCACAACACTGCTGTCATTTGACATATTGTTTGATGTTAGGCAACACATACAACCAGACACAAACAGAAAAAATTACTGAACATGGGCCTTGTTAGCTCAGTCGGTAGAGCATGAGACTTTTAATCTCAGGGTCATGGGTTCAAGTCCCACATTGGGTGCAATCTTTACATGAGTACCAACTGTATCACTGAGATAAACTTAACAACAATGCCATAAACCAACAGTGTCCTCATCCTCAGCATCAAGATTCCTTACACTCATTACTCGAGCAACTGCAGGAAGAATTGCACATGGGAAAGTCGTAACTTTTCCTTGATCTCAGTTCAACATATAATGTCAGCTGCAACAACACTGCTGTCATTTGACATATTGTTTTATTTTAGACAACACATTCAACCAGACACACACACAAAAAAAAAAAAAAAAAAAAAAAAGGAAATGACCATTAATATGGGCCCGGTTAGCTCAGTCGGTAGAGCATGAGACTTTTAATCTCAGGGTCGAGGGTTCAAGTCCCACATTGGGCGCATTCTTTACATGAGTACCAACTGTATCACTGAGATAAACCTAACAACAATGCCATAAACCAACACTGTCCTCATCCTCAGCATCAAGATTCCTTACACTCATTACTCGAGCAACTGCAGGAAGAACTGCACATGGCAAAGTCTTAACTTTTCCTTGATCTCAGTTCAACATGTAATGTCAGCTGCAAAAACACTGCTGTCATTTGACATATTGTTTGATTGTAGACAACACATTCAACCAGACACACACACACAAAAAAAAAAAAAAAAAAAAAAAGGAAATGACCATAAATATGGGCCCGGTTAGCTCAGTCGGTAGAGCATGAGACTTTTAATCTCAGGGTCGTGGGTTCAAGTCCCACATTGGGCGCAATCTTTACATGAGAACGACCTCTATCACTGAGATAAACTTAAACACAATGCAATAAACCAACAGTGTCCTCATCCTCAGCATCAAGATTCCTTGCACTCATTACTCGAGCAACTGCAGGAACAACTGCACATGTGCAAAGTCATTACTTTTCCTTGATCTCAGTTCAACATGTAATGTCAGCTGCAACAACACTGCTGTCATTTGACATATTGTTTTATTTTAGGCAACACATACAACCAGACACAAACAGAAAAAATTACTGAACATGGGCCCGGTTAGCTCAGTCGGAAGAGCATGAGACTCTTAATCTCAGGGTCGTGGGTTCGAGCCCCACATTGGGCGCAATCTTTACATAAGTACCACCTGTATCACTTAGAGATACTTAACAAACAAACAGTGTCCTCATCCTTAGCATCAAGACTCATTACAATCAACCTTCGAGCAACTGCAGGAAGCACTGAACATGGCAAAGTCGCATCTTTTCCATGATCTCAGTTCAACATGTAATGTCAACTGCAAAAACACTGCTGTCATTTGACATATTGTTTGATTGTAGACAACACATTCAACCAGACACACACACAAAAAAAAAAAAAAAAAGGAAATGAGCCTAAATATGGGCCCGGTTAGCTCAGTCGGTAGAGCATGAGACTTTTAATCTCAGGGTCGTGGGTTCAAGTCCCACATTGGGCGCAATCTTTACATGAGAACCACCTCTATCACTGAGATAAACTTAAAAACAATGCAATAAACCAACACTGTCCTCATCCTCAGCATCAAGATTCCTTGCACTCATTACTGGAGCAACTGCAGGAAGAACTGCACATGGCAAAGTCATTACTTTTCCTTGATCTCAGTTCAAAATGTAATGTCAGCTGCAACAACACTGCTGTCATTTGGCATATTGTTTGATTTTAGGCAACACATACAACCAGACACAAACAGAACAAATTACTGAACATGGGCCCGGTTAGCTCAGTCGGTAGAGCATGAGACTCTTAATCTCAGGGTCGTGGGTTCAAGTCCCACATTGGGCGCAATCTTTACATAAGTACCACCTGTATCACTTAGAGATACTTAACAAACGAACAGTGTCATCATCCTTAGCATCAAGACTCATTACAATCAACCCTCGAGCAACTGCAGGAAGCACTGAACATGGCAAAGTCATAAGTTATCCTTGATCTCAGTTCAACATGTAATGTCAACTGCAAAAACACTGCTGTCATTTGACATATTGTTTGATTGTAGACACCACATTCAACCAGACACACACAAAAAAAAAGAAAAAAAAAAAAAAGGAAATGAGCCTAAATATGGGCCCGGTTAGCTCAGTCGGTAGAGCATGAGACTTTTAATCTCAGGGTCGTGGGTTCAAGTCCCACATTGGGCGCAATCTTTACATGAGAACGACCTCTATCACTGAGATAAACTTAAACACAATGCAATAAACCAACAGTGTCCTCATCCTCAGCATCAAGATTCCTTGCACTCATTACTCGAACAACTGCACATGGCAAAGTCTAAACTTTTGCTTGATCTCAGTTCAACATGTAATGTCAGCTGCAACAACACTGCTGTCATTTGACATATTGTTTGATTGTAGGCAACACATACAACCAGACACAAACAGAAAAAATTACTGAACATGGGCCCGGTTAGCTCAGTCGGTAGAGCATGAGACTTTTAATCTCAGGGTCGTGGGTTCAAGTCCCACATTGGGCGCAATCTTTACATAAGTACCACCTGTATCACTTAGAGATACTTAACAAACGAACAGTGTCCTCATCCTTAGCATCAAGACTCATTACAATCAACCCTAGAGCAACTGCAGGAATTACTGAACATGGCAAAGTCATAAGTTATCCTTGATCTCAGTTCAACATGTAATGTCAACTGCAAAAACACTGCTGTCATTTGACATATTGTTTTATTGTAGACAACACATTCAACCAGACACACACACACACAAAAAAAAAGAAAAAAAGGAAATGAGCCTAGATATGGGCCCGGTTAGCTCAGTCGGTAGAGCATGAGACTTTTAATCTCAGGGTCGTGGGTTCAAGTCCCACATTGGGCGCAATCTTTACATGAGAACGACCTCTATCACTGAGATAAACTTAAAAACAATGCAATAAACCAACACTGTCCTCATCCTCAGCATCAAGATTCCTTGCACTCATTACTGGAGCAACTGCAGGAACAACTGCACATGGCAAAGTCATAACTTTTCCTTGATCTCAGTTCAAAATGTAATGTCAGCTGCAACAACACTGCTGTCATTTGACATATTGTTTGATTTTAGGCAACACATACAACCAGACACAAACAGAAAAAATTACTGAACATGGGCCCGGTTAGCTCAGTCGGTAGAGCATGAGACTCTTAATCTCAGGGTCGTGGGTTCGAGCCCCACATTGGGCGCAATCTTTACATAAGTACCACCTGTATCACTTAGAGATACTTAACAAACGAACAGTGTCCTCATCCTTAGCATCAAGACTCATTACAATCAACCCTCGAGCAACTGCAGGAAGCACTGAACATGGCAAAGTCATAAGTTATCCTTGATCTCAGTTCAACATGTAATGTCAACTGCAAAAACACTGCTGTCATTTGACATATTGTTTGATTGTAGACAACACATTCAACCAGACACACACACACAAAAAATAAATAAATAAAAAAAAGGAAATGAGCCTAAATATGGGCCCGGTTAGCTCAGTCGGTAGAGCATGAGACTTTTAATCTCAGGGTCGTGGGTTCAAGTCCCACATTGGGCGCAATCTTTACATGAGAACCACCTCTATCACTGAGATAAACTTAACAACAATGCCATAAACCAACAGTGTCCTCATCCTTCAGCATCAAGATTCCTTTCACTCATTACTCGAGCAACTGCAGGAAGAACTGCACATGGCAAAGTCATTACTTTTCCTTGATCTCAGTTCAACATGTAATGTCAGCTGCAAAAACACTGCTGTCATTTGACATATTGTTTGATTTTAGGCAACACATACAACCAGACACAAACAGAAAAAATTACTGAACATGGGCCCGGTTAGCTCAGTCGGTAGAGCATGAGACTTTTAATCTCAGGGTCGTGGGTTCAAGTCCCACATTGGGTGCAATCTTTACATGAGAACCACCTCTATCACTGAGATAAACTTAAAAACAATGCCATAAACCAACAGTGTCCTCATCCTCAGCATCAAGATTCCTTACACTCATTACTCGAGCAACTGCAGGAAGAACTGCACATGGCAAAGTCTTAACTTTTCCTTGATCTCAGTTCAACATGTAATGTCAGCTGCAACAACACTGCTGTCATTTGACATATTGTTTGATTGTAGACAACACATTCAACCAGACACACACACACAAAAAAAAAAAAAAAAAAAAGGAAATGACCATTAATATGGGCCCGGTTAGCTCAGTCGGTAGAGCATGAGACTTTTAATCTCAGGGTCGTGGGTTCAAGTCCCACATTGGGCGCAATCTTTACATGAGTATCAACTGTATCACTGAGATAAACCTAACAACAATGCCATAAACCAACAGTGTCCTCATCCAAAGCATCAAGATTCCTTACACTCATTACTCGAGCAACTGCAGGAAGAACTGCACATGGCAAAGTCATAACTTTTCCTTGATCTCAGTTCAACATATAATGTCAGCTGCAACAACACTGCTGTCATTTGACATATTGTTTGATTGTAGACAACACATTCAACCAGACACACACACACAAAAAAAAAAAAAAAAAAAAGGAAATGACCATAAATATGGGCCCGGTTAGCTCAGTCGGTAGAGCATGAGACTTTTAATCTCAGGGTCGTGGGTTCAAGTCCCACATTGGGCGCAATCTTTACATAAGTACCACCTGTATCACTTAGAGATACTTAACAAACCGACAGTGTCCTTATCCTTAGCATCAAGACTCATTACAATCAACCCTCGAGCAACTGCAGGAAGCACTGAACATGGCAAAGTCATAAGTTATCCTTGATCTCAGTTCAACATGTAATGTCAACTGCAAAAACACTGCTGTCATTTGACATATTGTTTGATTGTAGACAACACATACAACCAGACACACAAGCAAAACAAAAAAAAAATAAATATATACAGAAAAGAACCGTAATTAATGCCTAAGTTCGCTAAGTCGGTATAGAATATGACTTTTAATCTTAGCGTCGTGGCTTCAACTCCCACATTGGTTGCAAGCTTTTCTTAAGTACTACCTGCATCACTGTGACCATAGACCAACAGTGTCCTCATCCTCATCAGCAAGACTCCTTACAATCAACACTCGAACAATTGCGGGAAGCAGTGCACATGGGCAAAGTCATAACTTTTCCTTGATCTCAGTTCAACATGTAATGTCAGCTGCAACAACACTGCTGTCATTTGACATATTGTTTGATTGTAGACAACACATTCAACCAGACACAAACAGAAAAAAATGGCCTGAACATGGGCCCGGTTAGCTCAGTCGGAAGAGCATGAGTGTCTTTATCTCAGGGTCATGGGTTCGAGCCCCACATTGGGCGCAATCTTTACATAAGTACCAACTGTATCACTCAGAGATACTTAACAAACCAACAGTGTCCTTATCCTTAGCATCAAGACTCATTACAATCAACCCTCAAGCAATTGCAGGAACCACTGAACATGGCAAAGTCTGAACTTTTCCTTGATCTCAGTTCAACATGTAATGTCAACTGCAAAAACACTGCTGTCATTTGACATCTTGTTTGATTGCAGACAACACATTGAACCAGACACACACACACACAAAAAAAAAAAAAGGAAAACACCATAGATATGGGCCCGGTTAGCTCAGTCGGTAGGGCATGAGACTTTTAATCTCAGGGTCGTGGGTTCAAGTCCTACATTGGGCGCAATCTTTACATGAGTACGACCTGTATCACTGAGATAAAATTAACAACAATGCCATAAACCAACAGTGACCTCATCCTCAGCATCAAGATTCATTACACTCATTACTCGAGGAACTGCAAGATGCAGTGCACATGGCAAAGTCATAACTTTTCCTTGATCTCAGTTCAACATGTAATGTCAGCTGCAACAACACTGCTGACATTTGACATATTGTTTGATTGTAGACAACACATTCAACAAGACACGGTTGAACCACATAGACCAGACACAAGCAGTAGCGGAAGTTTTATGCGGTTACAGAGTAAATTATCAAGTTAATTTTCAAAATAAAATAAAGTCAATACATTGAACTGTTTTTAACTTGATAATGGCAGAAGCCAGGGTTGTGGGATGTGGGTGTTTATATAAACTGCCGTTTATATACACTGCCGTTTATATACACCGATTGGCTGTTCTTATTCTGGGAGCTCATTAGATCTAGTCCAATCTCGTGAGAAATAGCGGTAATGTCCTCCAATGATGGCGGCGGATCGGATCTGGTGGGTGCTGTATGCTTGCGGATCTGATCCGACTGCCAGTCCGTAGCGGAGTGGAGCCGCTCCGGATCCTGTGGGTTTAGCCAGTAAACCTATAGCAGCATAACTAAGAGCTGGTTAAAATCAGCCCTAACTATAAGCTTTATCAAAGCAGAATGTTTTAAGTCTACTCTTAAAAGTTGAGAGGATGTCTGCCCCCCAAACCTTGAGCGGTAAATGATTCCAGAGGAGAGGTGTCTGATAGCTGAAACCTCTACCTCTCATCCTATTTTTAGAGACATTTGGTACAACAGGCAGACCTGCAGACTGTGAGTGAAATGGTCAAGACAGAAAGTAAGGTATCTGTGAGATATGATGGAGCCTGGCCATTAAGTGCTTTATATGTCATAAGAAGGATTTTAAACTCAATTATAGATTTAATAGGGAGCCAGTGAAGAGAGGCTAATGTGCGGGATGTGCTCCCTTCTTTTAGTTCTTGTCAATACCTGAGCTGCTGTGTTTTGGACCAGCTGTAGAGTCCTTAAAGACTTATTAAAGCAGCCAAATAAGAGAGAATTACAGTAATCCAGCCTAGAGGTAACAAAAGCATGAATTAGTTTTTCTGCACAACTCTGAGACAGGATGGGTCTAATTTTTGAGATATTGCGCAGGTGGAAAAAAGCTATCCTAGAGATTTGTTGAATGTGGGAGCTGAAGGACAAATCCTGATCTAATAAAACTCCCAGTTTTCGCAAAGTGGGGCTGGATGCCATCTAGCGTAGCTATGTTTTTAGAGAATGCCTCTCTGAGGTGTTTAGGACCGAGGACAATAACTTGTTTTTGTCCTCGTTTTGTCTGAGTTGAGCATCAGAAAGTTATTGGTCATCCAGGATTTTATATCTTTGAGACAAGCTCCTAATTTGGTAACCTGATTTGTTTTTTCTGACTTCATAGATCAGTATAACTGGGTGTCAACAGTGGAAATAAATCGAGAACTTCCTCAAAATTTTACCCAGAGGAAGCATGTACAAGGTAGAGAGGATCGGTCCTAGCACTGACCCTTGCTGGACTGGAAATCCTCCAATAAACTGTTGTTATGAAGAAAATCACAAAGTTGATTCACAACAACTTTCTCTAGGATTTTAGAAATAAAAGGACAGTTGGATACTGGTCTATAGTTAGCTTGGGTGCCTGAGTCAAGAGCAGGTTTTTTAAGGAGAGGTTTAATCAGCCCAGTCTTAAAAGACTGGGGAAGATATCCTGTTAATAAAGAAGTATTGATCAAGTCAAGCAAGGATGTACTAATGAAAGGAAGAGTTTCCTTCAGCAGTTTAGATGGAATTAGGTCTAAAAGACACGTTGATTGTTTTGCTGCCAACACCACTGAATTTAACTTGACTAGGGACAGACTCAGTCTCTATATTAGAATTGAATAGAATATTCCTTTATTGATCCCCCATGGAGGAAATTTTTTTTGTCACAGCAGCATCACAGACAAAGAGTGCAAAAATGCAGTTACAAAAAAATAAGGATTGTAATATTAAGAACTTAAATAAATGTAATAATTAAGAAAAAGGGAGAAGAAAAATAAAACTATCTACAATATACACAATTTAAATACCCCAAAAAAAGTGGTGGTGTGAGTCCAGTAATTATTACAGTTCGTTGTAAAGTCTTATTGCAGAAGGGAGGAATGACCTGCGGTAGCGCTCCATCTTGCAAGGTGGGAGTCCACAGTCTGGTGCAGTGGGTGAGAGGGATTGTCCATGCTGGATACAAGCTTTGTTAACATCCTTCTCTCACCCACCTCCTCCAGGGAGTCCAAAGAACAGTCCAGGACAGAACTTGCCCTCCTGACCAGTCTATTCAGTCTCTTCCTGTCCCTCTCGGTGCTCGCTGCCCCCCAGCAGACCACTGCATAGAAAAGTGCAGATGCTACCACAGAGTCAAAGAAAGTCCTGAGCAGAGTCCTTCACACTCCAAAGGACCTCAGTCTCCTCAGCAGGTGGAGACGACTTTGACCCTTCTTGTACAGGACGTCTGTGTTGGTTGACCAGCCCAGTTTATTGTTGAGGTGGACACCCAGGAATCTGTAGGACTCCACCATCTCGAAGTCCAGACCCTGGATGTTCACCGGAACAGTCTGAGGTGTCCTCCTCCTGCGGAAATCCACAACCATCTCCTTTGTCTTACTGGCGTTGAGCTGGAGGTGGTTTGTGCCACACCAGTTGACAAAGTCAGTGATGACAGTCCTGTATTCCCGCTCATCCCCTGACGATACACATCCAACGATGGCTGTGTCATCAGAGAACTTCTGGAGGTCCCCTGTTGAGCCCCTGTGCTGCAGACCACCATGTTCGACACATAGTTCTAAAGCCTCACAAACTGTGGTCTGTCGGTGAGGTAGTCCATGGTCCATGCAGATAGGTGACAGTCCACTTCCGCCCTCTCGAGCTTCCCCCTGAGCAGTGAAGGCTGGATGGTGTTAAAAGCACTGGAGAAGTCAAAAACATGACCCTCATAGTGCTGCCGGTGTCCTAACCACACACGATTCAGAGCGGAGTTCAAGGAGCAACCATAAACTCCTCGGTGAGGCTGTTGATTGGTAGGGTCAGCTTGTTGTTGTTGCCATAGAGGGCAATGCTGCTGAGACTCTGAGGAAGCCCCAACCAGTGCCGGAGGTGGCTGCTGACCCTCTGCTCAAACCCTTCCACGGTGGACATGGGAAATTCATATACCAGCAATGGCCACAGTATCCTGGGCAGGATGCCATGTCTTGAACTTCCCCGGGAGACCAGATTTGTCCACTGCAGTTAGCCAGCCCTCCAGTTGTTCGTGGTAGCCCTGATGGAAGCTGTATCCCTCAGGGAGCAGTCGAAGATCTTCCCCAGGCTTTTAACAGGCTTCTCTGTGACTGATGGGATCTGAGAGCCTCCTAGGAAGAAGCTGAACCGGTCAGTCACCTTCCCTCCCTTCAGGACTAGAGACCTGGATTTCTTCTGCTTGAAGCGCATGCGGGCCCAGGTGGTAAGCTTCTCCAAGCCCTGGAGGATCCATCTGCATCCTGGTACTGACATTGTCATTACTGCCAGATCGTCCATGTATGTGCTGATGGGGGGGTGACTTGGTTGTGGGCCCTCTGCACTCTGGCTTGGCGGACTTGACCAGCATGTTCATGGCCAAGATAAAGAGAACCACTGAGATGGTACATACAGTGATGATCCCTTTCTCTAGCCGTTGGCACTCTAATGTAACTGCGCCAGAGGAGGATCTCACGTAGAAGCTGTTATAATAGTCCATGATTAAGGTCTTGATTTTACATGGGACATGGTGCCTCTCCAATGCCACCCCCACCAACTTATGGGGTATAGAGCCGTATGCATTTGCTAGGGGTCCAGCCAAAGCACAGGTAGCTTCCCTTTCCCCTCTCGGGCCTCCCTTATTAGTTGTGTCACCACCCCACTGTGTACCAGGCACCCTGGTACCCCTGGGATCCCGCCCTTTTGCACTGAAGGGTCGATGTACTGATTCCGAAAAAGGTTGTCTGACAGCCGGTGGGAAAGGATACTGAAAAATATCTTCCCCTCAACATTGAGCAGCGAGATGGTCCTAAACTGCTCAATGGTAGTAGACCTCTCTTCTTTCGGAACCCACACCCCTTCTGCGGATCTCCATTGGTGGGCAACCATCCCTCTCCTCCAGATCCCCCTTAGGATTTTCCACAGACGGTTCAGGAGCTTGAGGCACCTTTTGTACACCAGGTAGGGTACTCCATTGGGTCCAGGTGCTGAGTTTTTCCTTGCAGCCTTGACCACAGACTGAATTTTTTTCCAGGTGGGGGCTTTGGTGTTGAACGCTCAGGCTGGCTCAGGTGGCTTAATCAGGTCTCTGCATTCGCCTAGGTCTTCCTCCCTCACTGCATCACTGTATGTTTCATGGAGGTAAGAGTCTACCTCCTCTTTTGTGCAGGCTAGATGGCCGCTGCGCTTCTGGCCTAGCAGCTGTTTGGTGAACCCAAATGGATTAGCTAGGAATGCAGCACATCTTTTCGCTCTTTTCTTCGCCCGTTTCCTATGCCACTCTGCTCTTCTGAGGGTTAGCAACTTCTTCCTCAGGACACAACGAATTTCTGCTAGCCCCGGCTTCAGGTCCTCACTTGCCCTTTTGAACTGGTTCTTCAGGTCCCTGAGTTCCCGTCGCAGCTGTGAGATCTTCTCTGCCCTACGGTTCTTGGAGTAAGGGTTTGCTGCAGCACGCTTCTCAACTGTTCCAAACCTTTCACTGGCGATGCTAATGACCATGGTGGCCATTATTTGGAGTTTCCTGTCTGCCCCTCCTTTTATTGTGGCTTCCACGATACAAATCATCATCGAGCTTCTGCCACTCACTTGCTTTACTGGCAGGAGGCCACTTGACCTGCTTTTGATGTTGTGGGATGTCTGAAGCTAGGGTTTCCCGAGCATGGAGGTTCTGGGCGCTGTGGGTTGACTCCTGACCCGGATCCTCCTGCGTCTCACCAAGGTCCTCTGGAGTGTGTAGGGGGCTGTGGGGCTCTTCCCCCACTGGCTCCTCCTGCAGCTCATGGAGGCTGCTCCTTGTGTGCTGCTCTGGCTGCTCTTTCACCAGACATCCCATCTTGGTCTGGTGGATCTTCAAACCTCGCGGGTTTTTGTAGCTCTTGCTGCATATGCATGTTGTATTCATTGTTGGATGTCTGTTTGCATGGGTCGTTGCCTGGTTGTCCGTCCGGTTGGGGTGCTCATTCGCCCCCCCTCTCGGGCTCCCCTGGGGGTGTGTTCCTTTATGACGTTTCTTAGCTGAGTAGGGGTTCTTCCTCACAGAAGATGCAGGGCGGGTCGATGGCCCTACCTGCCCCAGTTGCCGTCTTTCCGTGCTGTCTACTGTCTCTCCAAGCTGTCACCACTCTGTTCATGGTCGTCAACCAGTCTCTTCCTGGATGTCACTGGCTTCGCCAGACTGTTATAGTTGTTCGAAACATTTTGCGATGCAAAATCTTGGACACATCATCAGTGATAGTACCTGGGGTCATGGGGGGTTTCGGGCCTTTCAACTTCAGACCCCCTCACCCAGGCGATTCGACCTGGAAGTGATCAGTTCCCGGCCTGTGTCCAAGAAGCGCTCATCCACACCTTGTCCCTTTTGAATCCACAGCCATCGTGATGCTTTCTCAGCTGCTTCTGAAGCTGAGCAGATGGCTCTCCTCTTACGTGCCCCTGTGATGCCTAGGAGACTGTAGACCCTGCAGAGTGACTTCCCTGCAAAGCCCCTTCCCCTGACCTCAGTGGGCAGGCATCTTGCACACCACCCCCTGTTGCGGCAGTCCTCCACCAGCTCGGCGTACTTCTCCTTCTTCCTCCCGCTGGCTTCCTCCATCCTCTCCTCCCAGGGCACCGTCAGCTCCAACATGATGACCTGCTTGGAAGACTCTGATTGTAGGACCAAAATCAGCAGAAAAAAATAAAATACCAATTTATTCACAGGGGGGCAGTAAAATCAATACAACCATAAAGTGCTTTACCTTTAAGCAAAGCCAGTTTTATCTATAGAGCTAAACTATTCCAAACCCTCATGGTCATTACAACCAACCCAGACAAGAAGGATTTTCCGGTCTTCCCTTAAGACCTGCCCTATAGACAGACAGTGCTTTGTATTGACATTTCTAGAGTGATTTGGTGTTCAGAGTCTTTCCTAAGGACCTGCGATCTAGCTGCCAACCTTCCCTGTGAGAGAGGACTGACGCCTGGTTCACACAGGAAGCGCTGCGCACGGAATGGAAGCGCCGCGCACAGAGTTTCGGATCGGCGCCCGTGTTAACCTATGAGACTGTTCACACAGCTCACGCGCAGAAGCGCCGCACACTGAAGGGCTCACGCTCTGGAGCATGGCCGCTCCGCTTCTCTCTATTTTTGGCGCGAGCCGCGCGCGCCATTTGTAAAGCTGGACAGAGCAGATCGGACCAGACAGGAAGTCGGAACAGGAGATGCGAGATCATCCGGTCAATTTTCAAAATAAAATAAATTTCAATAAATTAGAAAAAAAGGATTTACGGTGTTTCTTGTCAGTCTATTTTTTCCCGATGAACACGCATGCACGCGCACACACACACACACACACACACACACACACACACACACACACAGAGGGAGAGCTGCAGAGATTCAGTGATGTTATTGAGACAAAGGAGGGGGACTTTATTACGATACAGTCAATAGCCTCGAGCTAACAAGGCTACACATACAACGGAGTCAACAGACTCCCCAATTCATTCGTTGTTTACCCCTATATAATAATTTAAAACAATACTTGAAGATGCTGCCAATTTTTAATTTAAGTATGACAAAATAAAAACGTAAATAAATATTGATTTACCCATTTTTAAAGCGCTCGTAAGTGTGGAAAACTGCGGGCAGACGGAAACGGCCGAGCACTGCCGGGCTCAGTCGATGTCTGACCGGCGTGTCAGAGCGCAGCAGAAAACGCTTAATGTGTGAACAGCCAAGGGCGCGCGTGCCGGCGATGCGCGCACGGTGCTTCCGTTCCGCGTGCGACACTTCCTGTGTGAACCAGGCGTGAGTCTACTACTGAGCAACAGCAGTCCCCATAGACCTAAACAACCAGACTCAGACGAGGATGGATCTCTGGAGCATAGCAAGGGGACATGTAAAGGAGTAATATTTGGAGCTGTGCAGCAACACCATTTTTTTGTTGACAAAACAAGCCGAAGAAATATTTTTTTTTTCTTTTCTTTTTTTTCCTTTGTAAATAATGACCTTTGAATCTTTTAGGAGAATGATTTTAATCAGGTTAAAAAATATTGAAAGTGACAATTGTGTGTCTGATCTTGTTCTTTCTGCTGAGGGTCTGAATTAAATACAAGCCTAATTCCATCTGTGCTATAACTAATATGAGGAGGAAATTTTAACATAAAAAAAGACCAAAAAAAAAGAGTGCTCAGTTTAATTCCCAAAACAGTAACATATTACAATTAGACACTCAATATGCCATGCTCAGTCTATTAATCATCAATAAACTAAATAATCATTAAACTGAAGTTATCTGAAAATTTTCTCACATTATGCCCCAAGCAGCAGCTTTTCTGACAAATTATACTTCACTCATTCAACATGATGGATGACTGAGACCTTGAGACTGATAAACCAATCACCTCTGACCACAGTTTATGAGGCCATTATATGGAAAGAGAAATGAAGGATGGTTGAAGTTTCGAAACTACTCACACCATCCCACTATTTTCTTAAAGGGATATTCCAGCGTAAAATGAAGTTAGGGTCAAACAGACTGTAACACCGAGTTAGACACCCCCTCGAGAGATGAATGTTGCCAACAGCTTGCTTCTCTAGTTATACCAATTTTTATGGTGTGTTTGACCCTAACTTCATTTTACGCCGGAATATCCCTTTAAATTTAGAGTTCTTTCACCATAGCCCTTTTTAAAGTAGATGGGTCAGCTGTTGCATGAAACAGAATGGGGATCAACACACTGTTTGATGTACGTAGGTACTCTATGATCAATCTCTGCCCAATTTGGATGCCCTTCAAAAAATCTCTGCTGATGAATTTTCCAGCAATCACTGCTCTCCTGGTGAACTGGAGCAAAAAAATGTTTTGACTAGAGAGACTGATAATGTCTGAAAATGTAATCCCCAATCTCAAGTACCTCTTAATTACCAAGTTGAAAAAGAACCCAAAATCTCTGGCTCCAAATTACAGCGCTCTAAATTAATTTAAATCCAGGTTATTGGAGCTGACCTTATGTGACCCAGGAACAGTTAAATAATTTTGATAGTTATCACCATAACTCTTCCAAGCTCCATCCCCACCCCTGTTTCGGTGACAGACAAGGGCTGATGAACTAGGAGGGAGGAAGCTACAACAGTGGAGGCGTGTAGGAAAAGGAGGAGGAGAAGGAGGAGCAAAAGTGGAGAATTCCACCCGTTGAGTAGAAGAAGGTGGAGTAGCTGTGGAAGTGGATGTGTCAGCAGTGTCAAATCTGTTGAAGAACAGGTTGAGTTCATCAACCCTTTCCACACCACCCACTATTGGCTGTCTTTTCTTTTTATTGTTGTGTCCAGAGATGGTACTGATTCTTCTCCACTCTTTGCGGATGTAGTTGTGTTCTAAATTCCTCTCTATCTTTTTTTTTCTTTTGTATTCCAGCTTTGCCATATTCCGTCTCCCCTTTAACTCATGTGTCACTTAATTTTCTCTTAGACAGTGAACAAGCTGTAAATCCAGTCAAGTGAAAGGAGAGTGTGACATGGTTGAAGTCTCCTGATATTATCATTAATGCCTCAGGGTGTTAAGTCTGTAGCCTACCAACAGTATCATGCAAAAGATTGCATGGAATTTTAGCCATTGCTTTGGGTGGAATGTAAACAAGTATTGTTATAATATGACTGAATTCTCTTAGAACATAATATGGCCGAAAAGCAACTGCCAACAATTCAATATCTTGACAACACAACTTCTCTTTGACAGTTATGTGTGAAGAGTTACACCATCTCTGGTTGGCAAATAAAGCAAGACCCCCTCCTGCAAAACACAAAGATGCAAGACGTCTGAATAAACTGGTGAAAAAAGCTGGCTCTGTGGTTGGATTCAAGTTGGACTCACTGGGGGATGTGGTGGAGGAATGTACACTGAGGAAGGTGGAAGCTATTCTAAAGAACATGGATCACCCACTTCATAACACCTTGATGGACCAAAAGACCAATGGTGGTGGACGACTCCTCTCTCTTTGCTGCAGGACAGAAAGATTTTGAAGATCTTTTGCACCCATAGCCATCAGACTTTATAACTCTTCTACAAACAGGAGATGACATGAGACTACAGGCAATTGAATTTCTCTTAAGGAATCATTAAAGTTCTTCTTTTTCTTCTTCTTCTTGCCACTAGCTTTAGCATCTCTGTCTGACCTTGTGAGAGTGAATCCAGGTAGATCCACAATGGAGCCTGAGTTGTTTTGATTCAAATAGGTTTCAGAGAAACACAGGAGATTGCACTCATGGTATATTTTCTCATTTTTCACAAATGTCCCCAGCTCGTCACTATTTTTTGGCAGAGAGTTATTGTTTCCAATGATGACTGATTAAAGAAATGGTTTGTATCTCCTACTCCTAGCATTTAACTTGGCTTCACCTTTACACCAGCACAGCAAACATGAAAAAGCCTCTTGATGTCCTTTTTTGGGATGTTGCAGATTTGCTCTGTCTCAATATTATATACTATATATAATATATAGTATATAACAACAGGATATATACTTATACAGTGGTGGCCAAAATTATTAGAACACCTGACAGAAATGAAAACATTGAACTTTTTTTTGCCTCCAAAACATGATTTCCTTTCAAAATGTTCATGATGCATGCAGATGGTTGCTCTGAGCACAACAAATATCAGATTAAGTGAGTCCTACTGTTTTTATCCACTTTTAACTTTAATATTTGGTATGTCCACCTTTTGCAGCAATTACAGCAGCACATCTCTCTGGCATAGTGTCAATATATTTCTTGAGAACTTGAACACTAATATTATCCCATGCCTTCTGCAACTCAAGCCAAAGGCTTTCCTTTGAATGTACAATAGATCTGTCCAGTTTATTTTCCAACTCGCCCCAAATTTGCTCAATGGGGTTGAGGTCCGGACTTTGAGGGGGCCAGTCCATCATTTTCAATGTTCCAGCAGATTCCTTCTGTCGCAGGTAGTTCCGGCAATACTTAGAAGAATGTTTAGGGTCGTTGTCCTCTTGGAAAATAAATCCAGGCCCAATAAGACGACTCCCAGATGGTACTCCGTGCCTCACCAGAATGTTGTGGTATACTTTCTTATCCATGATGCCATCAATTTTCACTAAGTCACCTGTTCCTGAGGCTGCAATGGCACCCCACACCATAATACTACCCCCTCCGTGTTTAACTGTTGGCAAGAGACACTCATTTTTATATCTCTCCCCCTCCCTCCGTCGAACATACACTCTTCGCTTGTTGCCAAACTGTTCAAATTTGGACTCATCAGTCCACAACACTTTATACCAATCTCCCTTTGTCCATTTCTTGTGTTCTTTAGCGAATTTCAGGCGTTTCACTCTATTTTTCTCTCTCAGTAATGGTTTCTTTGCTGCTATTCTGCCAACAAGTCCTTCTTCTCCCAGTTTCCGACGCACAGTTCTTGAAGACACTGTTGCACCATTAGTCATTGTGGTGTTGATCTCGTCACGCAGTTCTCGTGAGGTCTTTCTTCGGTCCTTAAGACTGAGAATTTTGAGATGCTTCACTTGTCTGTCAGAAAGTTTCTTTTTCTACCTCTCCCCTTTCGGTTCTGGTGTGAATTGGTGGCATCATGGCGGTCTAAAGTGTACTTTACAGTGCTTGGACTGCATCTCAAGTCCTTGGCTATGCGGCGGTAACTCCAGCCAGCATCAAAAAGGGCCTTTATTCGAACCCGCTGCTCACTCGTTAATTCCTTCTTCACCTTAGCCATGTTCAAAGAGCAACATGAGCTTCAAGACTACTTCTAGAGGCTTTGAATTTATACCAATTGGTGGTGTGGCCTCAGTGACAAAACCCTCATGTTACCAATCACTTAATGAGCAGGATAGGCCTTGTACGTTCAAAAGAATCACACAGCTGTGTCCTAAGACTTGCATCACCATCAATTTAACCACGATCACACCTGAGAAGGATTACACAAGTAATTTGGCTGCTTCTGTGAAGGAACATGATTGTGTGACACTGACAGGCCTTGCTTGTTTTTTGTATGGAAAATGACCTAAATCTCCTTATGATGGCTCTATTCTAGGGTTTATAGAGCAAAATGATGACTTTGTAGATATTTAATTTGTTTTATGGGTATTTTAATGGCCAACTCAACAAAAACAACTGAAAATTCTTAAATATGCCAAGTGTTCTAATAATTTTGGCCACCACTGTATATACTGTCGAATGATTAAAATTTAAATCAGATTAATCATAGGGTTGCTGTGGACTAATTTTGATTAACCACAATTAAATATAAGTAGTTTTAATCTATCTTAATTGTGTTTTATTTTGCATCAGTAGAGACTCAAGAAGGCAGCACAGTGGTGTAGTGGTTAGCACTGTCGCCACACAGCAAGAAGGTCCTGGGTCTGGAACCGGGTCAGGCCATTTCTGTGTGGAGTTTGCATGTTCTCCCTGTGTCTGCATGGGTTTAATCTGGGTACCCGGTTTTCTCCCACATCCCAAAAACATGCATAAGTGGGGTTAGGTTGATTGGCCACTTTTAAATTGCCCGCAGGGGTGAATGGGAGTGTGGATGGTTGTTTGTCTCTATATGTCAGCCCTGCGATGAACTGGCAACTTGTCCAGGGTGTCCCCTGCCTTTGTCTGAAGATGCAGGGATAGGCTTCAGAAAATGGATGGATGGAGAGACGCAAGGAATCCAAACTGCTAACAGAATCCCGGACTAACGAGGCTAAGCATTAATGTGGTATTTTAAGTTGGAAGTACCATATAGACCCGAATATAAGACGACCCCTCTTTATCAACACCCATATTTGGAGAAATACTTTGTATTTGGACAAAATTTCATTTGCATAAAAAAAAAAAAAATAAAATAAAAAAATCATTATTTTCCTTGTACATTTCAGCATTTTTGGTGTTTAACATGCCAAGGAAAAAAGGTCATAAAATATTCTATAGCTCTGCAAATAGGCATAGCGCAGAACACACTTCATGGTTCTGTGCCATATAATAGTGCAATTAAATGAGCATAGGCCTACTGGCCTAATTTATGCAATAAACTGTGCACATTTTCTTCACAATGTCAGAACAGTCTGCAAAATTTAAGAACAATAACATCCAAAAACACCACAAACAGTTGTTTCCTCATTTATTCAGTTGTATCCTCCGCATCACCGGGTTCCTCCTCCTCACTCGCACTTTCTGTCTCTCTGCCGCTGCGACCGTCTTCTCCCGCATCAAATCATCCTCGCTTCCATCCATCAGGTTTGAGATGCAACATTTCTTGAACCCATTAACGATGCTCTCGACACATCTGCCCCAAGCTTGTAGGATCCATTCGTGGAGAAGACGAGCAGAAGGTTTCTGAATTTTTCCAGTAGATGTCAGAACGTGGTAACCAGCCAGGAGCCATGATGGGTAGTTCTTCCTCAGATTGTTTTTGAATGGCTTATTAACGACCATTTCCAGTACCTGTAACAAGTTTATTGTATCTTTTCAATCTCCCAATAAAATGGCTCAAACTACACTGACCTGCAGCTGACTTGCCGTTCCACCCGGGATGATCACCAAGTCACCATTCAGCTCCTAAACTTGTTTCTTGACCTTGTCTCTCACATGTCCACAGGAAGCATCTAGCACCAGCATGTTTTCCCTCCTTCTAAGTCCCCCAGGACGTCTGGCCCACACAGCTTTAAGCCAGTCCACCACAAGACTGGACTCCATCCATCCTTTTTCTTGTGCATGCACAATTATGCCAGCCGGCATAGGTCTTTGGGGAGAGTCTTTCGTTTTGAAATCACATAGGGGGGGAGTTTGGTCCCATCAGCGAGGCAGGTTAACATAACGGTAACGCGGCTCTTCTTGTTCCCTGTAGACTTAACAATCACTGATTTGTCTCCTCTTTTATGAACAGTGACAGGTGTGGGTATGTAAAAACAAAACCAAAAAAAAAAACAACAGGTGTCTGGTCTGCGTTGCCCATCTGATCCAGGGGATATTCATGCTTCTTTCTCAATTTGATTACAAAACGCTGGTAATTTACCAGCTTCTCTATGAAGTCTGTGAGCAGACCCCAAGCTCGGCTTGTCCTACAACAGGCCATTACGTCGCATCATTCTGTGACATTAGCCCATGCTAGTTATGAATTCGATGTTTTCATTCACATAATCACACACCCTTCTGTCAATTTCAGTGAAGTGACCAGTTTGTGGACCACAATAGCTCCTTTGCTGTGAGCGTTTTTTTAGCTCATCTTTCTGGTACCACCAGCATTGTACGTTGCACTCAGTCACATCATAACTTTTTCCTGCCCTCATGTTATTTGTTCTCTCAGCTTCATTTACAACCCTACGTTTAAAATTCGCAGTTGTTTGGAGCTGTTGTGGAAAGTCCAGCATAAACAATGCACAGGAGACATGATGAGATCTGAAGAACAGCCTGGGCACTTTAATAGTACAGATGTAGAAATCAGTACAGATGACAAACAGAGTCTCGACCAAGACCGAAGGAAGCCTTCTCTAGCTTCTCTTCTACTCTCTTTTATGCTGTTAGGTGTGTGTGTGTGTGTGTGTGTGTGTGTGTGTGTGTGTGTGTGTGTGTGTGTGTGTGTGTGTGTGTGTGTGTGTGTGTGTGTGTGTGTGTGTGTGTGTGTGTGTGTGTGTGTGACTTCTCCAGAAGGCCCCTCATGATGACATGTCTACCCCACGAGACTTTGTTTAGGTTCGTCTTGACCCTGGCAGAGATTACATGTTTCAACAGACAGATAGTTTGGGCTCCTGCAAGACAGCCTTGCTTCTCAATCTCTGTTATGGACTGATGAATCAAAATTTGAAATCTTTGGTTCATCACGCAGGATTTTTGTATGCTGTTGAGTAGGCGAAAGGATGGTTCCTTAGTGTGTGACGTCAACTGTCAACATGGAGGTGGAAGTGTGATGGTCTTGGGCTGTTTTGCTGGATAGAGTAAAAGGCACCCTGAACAAAAACAGCTAACACAGCATTCTGCAGCGCCATGCAGTACCCTCTGGGATGCGCCTAGTTGGTCAGGGGTTCATCCTACAGCAAGATAATGACCCAAAACATAAGTCCAAGTTATGCCAGAACTACCTGAAGAAAAAAAAACAAGATGGTAAGCTTGAAAACATGGAGTGGCCAGCACAGTCTTCAGATTTAAACCCCATGGAGCTGGTTTGGAATGAACTGGACAGAAGAGTGAAAGCAAAGCAACCTACAAGTGCCACAGATTTATGGAAACTTCAACAAATTTAGAAAGAACTTTCTGAAGAATATTTGATTTCCATTGCAGAAAGAATGCAACGAGTGTGTTCAGGTGTTATTTCTGCCAAAGGTGGCTACTTTGATGAGTCAAAAGTTTAGAATACATTTTCATTTCTAAATTGATTCTATGATTTCTTTTTTAACTTCAATTGTTTATTTGTTCCATGCATTAATTTCAGATTACACTGAGACATTAAACTGCATCATTTTCAATACAATTCTGGAAAAGTCGAGGTGTTCTAAAACTTTTGACCAGTAGTGTTTGTGTGTGTGTGTGTATATATATATATATATATATATATATATATATATATATATATATATACTGTATATGCTTGTAGCAAGGGCTTTCTTTGTTTACCAATTGTTTAAGCAAAGCATAAATTAAACATAAATGCTTTCCTTAATCTCCAATGCTACAAAGTGTACAATCTTGACATAAACTTCGAACTAGGTAAATAAGTGCGACTTGAGAGGGACAGGGCACAGAAATTTATTTAGCAGTCTAATTAAAATGTATTTCTGATATTCTGATGTGTCAGCCTCTTTTTGAGACTTTTTGCATCTTTTTTTCATCTCTTCAGAGTCCAACTCATTTCTCTGTTATGCTTCCCTCCGTCTTTCTCCTGCACTGGCAGAGACAATAACAGCTTAGGGCAGACAAGTGGATGAAAAATAAGAGAGATCAAGCACCGCTACATTTTCTCAATGTGTTTCTCTGCACATGTCAATCATGCAGCAGGGCACATCTTAATTAATAGGAGAACGCTTTCTCCTCTTCCTCTCTCACACATACAGTACATGCACACATGCAACAGTAATTGCCATTCTCTCACATCACATGAGAGCAACAGGTGGTTCAGCACCCAGCGGTTCAGGATAAAAAGAAAAGAGTGGGGAAGGATGGGGCAAAGACAGGGGGGTGAGGATAAGAGCGTTCACTGTGGGTGCATGCAGTTCTACATCTCTGCACAGGAATGGAGGTACATAACCTTTTAACCTTCTTCCTTTATCTCTGTCTTAAGTTATTTATAACTACTCATGGCAGTGACATGATTAAAGGAAATGTCAGAGATGTCAAATCTGTGGCTGCGCGGGGAAGTCTGTGGAACTATAAGAACAATCAGAAGGAAAGAAAAAAACAGAACCTCCAGAGAAATACTTTGATTCTCTATGTTACTGCAGGGCTGTGTGATTCCAGGGTTTTCACTTATCTGGCTGAGCTTTCAAATGTTCAAGTTCTTCCAAAGACCTACCTTATTCCAACTGAAGATCTGCAAAAAATCCAGAAGGTCACCTCTTTACAGTTGTTTTAAAACCTGGTGAATTGACTGTAGTAAAACATACCGTTTCTACAGCGATGAAACACATATCAGGCATTATTTATTTGGAAAGACCTTATCTAAACATACTAAACATACACCTTATCTAAACAAGGTTTGGGGGAAATTCCAGTCAATTACAATACAGGATGTTTCAGGCAGTTAAAAGAGGTAAAGAAGTTTCATTTCTTGTGGTGCATGAAGTGCAAGACACAATCCTGCATATGGTTTAATATTATGACATTGTTTTTGAGAATGACAAAGATGAAAAATTAAAAAAAAGGGATAGTGCCAGTTTAGTATTTTTATATGGTGCAAAAAAGAAAATCACAATAATGTAATTAATTTTGATAAAAGTGGGAGAATTCTCTTTATTAAAAAAGGAAACTTAATCTAACAACTTTATGATCCATTATCTGATGTATCTTTATCTTTGTCTCTCTGTTTGCTTTTTCCTCTGTACAATGATGATACCAGGTCTAATGAGACATATTCTACAAACTCTCTCTTGAATCACAGAATACAGGAACAAACTCTCTATTGATAAAATAAATTGAAAGAAAGAGCACAAATTAAATCAGGCTGCAGAGACAGTAATTGTTACAATAATTGGATCAATAATACAGTGAAGCTCTGGCATTGTACACAGTTTCTCACAGTCTATCACGGTCTATCACTCTTTCTTCTCTTTCTCTTTTTAAAGGTTCTACAGTTTGTCAAAGGGATGGTTTCCTCACTGTTGTTGCTGCATGTTTCCTCTGGGTGAAATGTTGCCAGGTCTTTGTAAAGATTAATGCACAGACTACTGTCTTCACTTGTATGTTACGCCAATCAGCCATAACATTATGGGCTCTATTTTTGTGCCTCGCCGGGCGGAGTGGCGCAAGCGCAGCGTAAGTCAGGTCTGCCGCGCTAACAGCCCGGCGTAAGTATCCCTAACTCAGCTCCTCCCAGTGGCGTAAGTCGTAGAGAGGTAGGAGAGAGGGCGTGGAGTGGGTTTAACACAGCCGAGACCTGTTTTCGCCAATCATATCAGCTCCTCTCCTCACCTTTAAATGCGCCACCGGCGAGGTGTATTACAAGTTTCGTGCAGTAGTCGAAGAGATCAAGAGATGTCTGAAGACAGCAATGCCACACGATGGCAACAGAAGGCAGCCCCTCAACAAGTGTTGCTGTAAGCACTGCGGGGCGTCCTGCACACTCTCTCATATGAGCACAGATGGATTTGGTGTGTGTAAGGTTGGACCCACCGGTAAGACAAACACCCATTTTCACAAATAAAGACAATCGCATCAAGTTGCATATATTTAAACCCCACGTGACAAAGATGGGTTGTGCGCACAGATCACAACATAAATTCCAATAATGGCATTAAAATCGGAACCATCTGTGCGGAAAGGACACATGGGGCTCCGTGGCCTGGCTCTTTCTTTCATAGATATTGGCAAATAAAATAAATTTGGCTGACAAAACTGAATATTATAATATTCGTATGTGGGCCTGACTCCGGATTGAATATTCACAGAATTTTAAGCATGTAAAATCATCGGATATACGGATAATTTTGAATGAAAGTTTCTTTAATGCGGTTTTAGCTGAATTATTGGTTGCTGTTGATTATTTATTGCACTGAAATGTGCCTGACACTGTGGAAACCTGCCTGTGAGGCATCAATGACGTATGTGCACTACGCCGCCAGTCTACCAAAATACCACTAGACCAGCTGCGCTCCGCCTGCGCTGAAAGCTGACAAGGTTTAAATCGGCGCGCTTTCAGTGCACTTTCCATGCCGCCGGCGAGCACGAAAATGTCACTGCGCCAGCTGATTCTGTTAACACCTTCCCCTGCCATGCCTTCCCCCTCACGCCCAGCTTGGTGGACCTCAGTCTACTCAGTCTCTCAGTCTACGAAAATACCAAACTGGCTGTGCACCGGGCTCTGCCAAACAAAAATACCACTGTGGGGTGCGCCACTGTCCGCCGCGGTGCCGGCAGGCATAAAAATAGAGCCTTATGTCTTCCTACCTGGTGTTTAGCTGGTCTTCCAGAACTGTGTGTGTGTGTGTGTGTGTGTGTGTGTGTGTGTGTGTGTGTGTGTGTGTGTGTGTGTGTGTGTGTGTGTGTGG